TTCTGGGTTCGTGTTAACAAGGCTGTTATAAATATCTTGTGTAGCATATCGAACAAGGAAGTCTATAAACTTGAGCTTCATCGAAAGCTTCTAAAAATAATGTGTAAATTTGAAACCAACAGTTATGTATGTTTCCTTATATATATTGCGTACTTTTATTCGTTTGTAAAGTAGCTTTTTTGCAAGGCTGGTTTATTTCGCTTCATTTAATCAACATCTGGTCGTAGGAGAGCTTTCAATGTTATAATAATGAACTGCGCGATATTTGAGTTATTTTAATCTTGTTTATATAAAATATAATAAATATGATGGTTTAGTGTCTGGATGGAAGCCGTTTTACATACGTAGTACCTATTGTAAACTGATTTATTCAACTTTACTTACCTTTATCAAATTAACCTTTTACAAATGGGTTGTTTCATATACTAGCTGTTTTTGAATACTACTAGTTGATACTAATGATTGCAAAAAGCGTATCATTGATTTTAACTGAAAAGTTTTAACAAATTAACATATGTTTTTATTTAATTTACAGAACCCAACCTCACACCATCAGAAGGAAGGTCCTTCGTCCAATTCAGGACATCTAGTGAAAGTCACCACTAGAAACGGACCTACTATATCAAAAACATCACTTAACACATACAGCCAGGTAATACATACTTTTTCTGAATTTCATATAGAATATCGTAAAAACTAATATTTTATCAGACAGTTTAAAACCAAGAAGTTGAAGTTGAAGTATTTTTTCAAAATTCGAGCCAATTTATTTCTTGAGATTGAACAATATAAAAAACTCCCACTTATTACACTAACTATTCCTTGATAACCATAACTAGTTCGTTAATAAAGTGTACGATTTTCTGATTTTACACCATTTCCACAGTGCATTTAACCGAGGATTTGTCAAACCAACTTCCATATACATATACCGTTTGAAGCAATATGTATTAATGACTTTTTTACATCCATCAACAAGAGCGGAAACTACTAGCCTCACTATCTAAACCTGACATCTAAAAAAACATTTACCTTATGAAGTACGTAACTTGTTTTGAAACAAGGCATATAATTTTTGTATAATCCAAATGTCTTGACTTGTTGACTTGAAAAGTTGACTTTTTCCAATTTAACAATGACTCTAGGTTATATTTATTAATAGCAATACATTATCTTGACTTGATATTAAAAACATATAATTTTCTTTTCCTATTGTTTTCAACAAAGAAAATGCCATTATACCTAAAATTTACACACATGTTATTTTGTCCTATGTGTAACGAGTTTCATATTCTTCTAATGCTTGTGTTCCAAGTAGCATATTTTTAGATAAAAGCGTTTTTTTAACTTGACACATCTCTTATTTTGCATTTTTTTCTGTTTTGCCATACATTTTCATAAAGCGCCAATTTTTTCTCCGTTCTTTTGCATTTAATTTAGTTCAGACTTTCATATTTAGACAGAAATTCCTTTGTTATGACGAAATAAAAAAAACCGCGATATAAATGCCTACAATTAAAAGTAATGTTTTTTAGAATTTAAACTTAATATTAAATTAAAGAAAATGAATATGTAGGACAGGCAATGAAGCAACAAACACTCGAGCTTGCTGGATATTTTATGCTCCCTGAACTGAATTAAGTAACATTGTTTTACTACATTTATCATAATTATTTTTTATATAGTTATAGTTCGTTTTTTTTCCATTTTCAAAACATTTTCCAACTAACATATTTCAAAAAATATGTTTCCAAAAGGCATTACATTTTTCCTTAGTTTCATGTTCATTTTTCAGCCTTTGCTTAACAAAGACCCGCTTTTATCATCAGACCACTATGGATCGCACTCTAGTTCATCATCATCCAGACATTTAAGCTCCAGCTATCGCAATGGGATTTCGAGAAGTGCGTTTTTTAGCTCAGAGGTAAGGGAGAAATCGCTTGATTTCACATTTTCTTCTACAAGTACTAACATGTTCAAGTTCATATACCAGATTCATGTTTTCTTTCGCAGAGGTAGACCTGTGTGAAACTCTTTGTGTATCACAACACATCAAAATAATAAAATATTAATAGATTTTAAAGTAAAATTTTATTGATGTAGGCCGTTAATCTCAACAAATATTAAAACGCATTATTGCAAGCAGAAGTTATGAAAAAATGATTCAAATTTGGGTTTTAACAGAGTAGTAATTTCTTGCAGTTACCGCACTTAGACCCCACAAAAGCTGCGTTCAAGCTGAACTTAAATCAGGGCTCCTCTGCTTCTACTCCAGGAACCCCCATGGTAGACACCCTGCCTACCATCAATAACAATCTCCATAAGGACCATGAGGTTACCAACAACAATAAAAAGGCGGGCTGGTTTCCTCTGACCCATACCGGTAGGTTTCCAACATTTCATTTGAATTAATTTTCTTATAATCCTGCATGATTTTTTAAGTAAGTAGTTTCATTAAGGAGACACGCTCCAAATATTAAAAATGTTTCATTTGGCAGAAGATGTGAACATTTTCTGATCAATTTCGCAGAAACTAAATTCACGAAGAAGAACGAAATTAAAGTTTAGAAGCAAATTAACATAAGAATTATGAAAGAGACAATCGACTAGAAGTCTCGGTAAACTGAATCTTGCTCATCATTACTATCTTAATAACGCCTTGTTGCACATATGGAAAACCGACAAAAATCAATAATCAGTATTTTTAAATTTCATTTTTTTTAAAGTACAGTTGATTTATTGATGTATGCTACATGGCATGCCATATTTGAATGTACTTATGTTGTTTCAGAGGCTCTCTCGCTTTATGGAAACAGGCTGACCGAGTACGAAAAGACTGAAATAGATAATTACTCAAAAATCTGGTACCTCGGACTCAACGCTCATAAAATAAATGGTGATAACTGGGGATCTCAAAACGGGGGATATGATGACGACAGTGGAAATTATAACAAAGTAAGTACTGAAATATTGTGTTTTGCATTCTATATTGGGTTTCTTTATCCATTTATCTTTGTCGTTATTTATGTAGTTTAATTGTGTATCGAATCGATTGCGCCCAGCAGACATACTTTATTAGAATCATGCATGCAGATAGAGGTTGACGACTGAAATAATTGTATCACTTAGTAGATATAATAAACGCTTTTCAGATGCTTGGGATTTAGTGTCTTTAAATCATCGTTTCTATTATCAATTTCTTGTTTATTCTTCACATTGTCTGTGTTTTCTTCACTCATTGATTTCACTTCTTCTATTGACTTCTCTATGTGGAAGTTTTGCAGGAGAACTTTGCCTATCGTATTTGATTTTTTTGGAAAAAAATTCAAACCTACAAAACGTTTTTTAACGTTAAAATTTACATAAGAATGTAACGGCGGAATTTTGGGTTTATCTTTCAGCTTTTCTAAAAGCCATCTAATTTGAATCTGCAACAGACTACTTCAGTTTTATAATCACGCTTAACTTGTAGCGATTGAAATAACTTTTCTTAAGAGGTTCGAGCTGCTAAACTTTTATTGAATAAAGCCACTTAATGGCACAATGCAGCAGATTGCACTCGGTGAATTGGTTCACTTAAACTTTTACATTAAGAAAAAATGCATACGCCTTACTTTGTTACTATTGAGAATAAAATGACTAAACTGATGGCTCGTGATCGTTCGATTTACTTGCCAGACTAACTGTGTGAAAATCGTTCAAATTTGCTTGGCTTTTTAATTTTTAAGTAAATATATTGTAAGTGCTATTTCAATATTAATTCAAGGAAGATTGAACGAATAGATTGGCTAATGGCTAATTAATTATGGGAGTTGAAGAGATTTTGTGTTATAGTATTTTATTAGTAACACCTTATAGTATGTTCATAACGTGTGTACACTGAGCAAATTTCGCAATCCAGTTTAATTGGTAATTTGTTTAAAAAATAATTGAGTTCGAACTAAAGTGATCAATGCCGTTATGGACGACATTTGCCTTTTTGCTAATATGTGCAGCGGTTTCATATAAGTGTTAACCAGTAGCCTCATTTTCTTTATTGATTGATGTTCTGTTTCAAACTCAATATTCACATTTTCTTAACGGAAGCGGAACTCTTTTTTGTGTGAATGTCTAGTTTTTGTTATTTTTGTGTGGAATATTTTAAAGTGATTATGGATTTCTGTTCTCCAGTATATATTGTGTTTGGCTCCCTGATTGTGTCAAGTTTTCAAGTACTTTTTATTAGTTACTGTTCCACAACTACGCTCTTCTGCATCATCATCTTCTTAAATTTGACTTGTGGATTCTACGTCTGTTTTCTTCGAGGTTTTTCAAATTCTTTTTTTAAGTGTGTCTGGGCTTCTTTGCAGAGTTTGTTGTTCCATCTTTGCTTTGAACCCATATTTAAGACACGGTTTTCTTATGGACATTACAGCAAATTTTTCATGTAAGCTATTAAAGAAAACAAATCGGAAACAAAGTTAAATTAATAACTCTTGATCATGATTAAAATTAATATATTTTTTCATTTATAGTGTTAGTATAATGTTTAATTTGTTCAGTGTCCTTCAATTTCTTTTTTACTTCTTTCGTTACATTCTACTTGCAATTAAATCGCTAAATTGAAAAGTGTAATTAAAATGCTTATTGCAACCTTGCCTACTATAATGATTTGATAATATTAAATAAAAATCTTTGATAAATCAGAGGTAATTTTCTTTGGTAGACGCTACTGGAAAACTTTAAACTATTTTTGGTTTACATTTTCGATATTCATTTACTTTTTGGGCTTCAAGTTCTTTCTCACGCCTTTTATGTTCATCTATAGGACTTGTATTAAACCGCTCCACTAAAAATGCCATTTAATTGCTTTATAATAATTTGATAACATGAAATAAAACATTTGATAAATCAGAGGTGATTTTAATTTTCAACTATTTTTGTTTCACATTTTCAATTTTTATTTGCGTATTTCATTATTACTTCAAGTAACTGGTAACAAACCGCTAAAGTTAATAATGTAATTAAAATGTCTATACTAATAAAACAACTAAGTAAACCTGAGGTATTTTTCTTTTGCCGATGCTGATTTTTTGTTTTGCCGTTTAATTTTTATGAATATATTAAGGAACATAGATTTCAAACTACTTTAGATTTTATTAAAATACTACTGTTTTACAAAAATTTTCCACATCTAGAAATTACAGCAAATACGTTTCTCATAAGAAAAGCAAAATTTTTGCGAAAATGAACCCGGCAATTATTGGTAATTAAAAACGGTCCGTGCATTACATTTTTTCCCACTAATTCGTGTAGTTGAAAATTTTCTCTCTTACAAAATGTGTATTTAATACTTTTTCTTTGGCTTTTTGGTTCGGAAAATGTTGTTCTAAATTAATTTTAATATTTGCATAATATCCTGCATAAAAGAATATGAAATTCGAAAACAAAATCGCACATTTTATTTACTTTAAATAACAGTAAGAACGCAATTAAGCAATCGAAACAAATAAACAATGATAAAGTTTTTGGTATATTTAAGTTTTAAATTTGAAATTAAAAACCTGAAAGTACAAATATTGTAGCCGACTGATGCGATATTTTCTTCTTAATTTTCCTATACACTTAATCACTTCATAATGTGCGTTTGTAATTAGTAAAATCTTGAGCAAGTTTGCTTTCACTCCGAGCAAATTGAAGCAAAAAAGTGAAAAGCAGAGTTCTGCGTTACTCATATCTGCTGCATACTTCCTTAATTCATTGTAGCTTAGGGCTGATAAACGTTCTTTGGGAGGTGCTCTCATTGCTCAGTGCTTCAAACAGCTGTAAAATATTTTCTGTCCAGAATCTGATATGTATTTTTTATTTCAAGTTAGATTTGTGATGTGTTTTTAAAATTGAATGTGAATATATTTTTTTGTAAAGAAAAAAATATTGACTAATTTGGTAACATCAAATTAATGCGTACATATTGTGGCATCTGAGTAATCTTAAGAAGCACATTTTTTAATTGAAATAAAGCACAACAGGCTAACAAAAAAGCCTTTTCAGATTTTGCACTATGAGCATAAAAGGGCAGAACGACGAATTAGTTTCTAGTCTTTCTTATAGCATTCATAATTCTGTCCTGTTTTGGTAGCCCTTATGGAACTTGACCCAAGCTGAATTCATTCAAAAACTTTCGAGAAATAAAATATGCTTTTTGTAAACCGATCAGTTTATGAAAATCGACCTCGTATTGAACTTGTTCTGATAGAATGGAAGGAAGAGGTAATTTTTAATTCCCAAGCCCTGACGAACCTAACCGTAACCAACTTGATTTCGATACGGATCAATAGGCAATTTCCTGATGATGTTAAAGTTAATTGTATGGCCACTACAAGTAACTGCGTCAAACTACAGCTACAGACACCTTATTAGACTAGTAGTTGATCAACGGAAAAATTCGGAATAGTGTTATTTGCTGATTCTGGTCGGTTTTCTTCCTACATCCGTATATAGTAGTAAACCGGTGAATATGTGAGCTCGTGATTAGAGCAGCGCTTGTTGAATGTTTGTGAGAATACCGCTGTGATATTCCGCAATTTAATATGACCATATTTTACTCACGGTTAAGACATTGGAGTAATCGATACACGTATGGCCGCTCTGTTTTAGATTTGTTCTAATGTAGCCGACAGGTAAGACGTGTATAGAACGTAGACGAAGTAAAGAGATTTTGTATTCAGTTGATTTGGTACCTTTGCGCATTTTTGTAACTGAAGTTTTTGAATTTGCCAATTTTCGCCTGCCGGTTTTGCGTTAGGGTTTATTGAGTTTGCACATTTTATATTTGCGTCTTTTATTCAGCTATATACCTTTCTAACTATCCTTTTTTCATTTATTTAATTACTATTTTTTTGCTACATCGTGGTCTATTACCGGTTATCTTCATTCCTACTTTCTTCTAATCATATTGTGTTAATATATTTTTCAAATTTTTTAATGATTATCGATCTGAGGTAATTTTACGAACATTGGAATATATTTGCACATCATTCATTCTAACTCTTTACGGTATTTCTTCTTTAGGGTGTTTAATACTACTAATTAAGAAAAATATATTCAATGGCTATTTTGGTTTACATTCGTTTTGCGCATCCCGCATTACTTTAGTAGGATTCACTATACGCCCATTCTTCATCTGTTGTACATTTACTATTGGTTTTCTACCCTCGGTTTATTCAGGTTTTTAAAAATTATTTTGCTAATGTTTTTATTAATTCTGGGTAGGTCATCTATTTTCTTCTGTAAGTAGATTGCATGTAATTGAAAGCAAATGTTAATAAATTTGGTGTTTTCGCTTCTAGCCGAAGTTATTGTGCGTGAGGAACGAGTCAATATATTCGCTTTTGGTCGCTCCCTTTTGTTTCATATTTCCGGAGATCTTATTTTAAGGCAAAAACTTTAAACCTGCTAAAGATAGTTGAAGCTGGTAGTTTGCTCTTCTGTGAAAATTGTTTGTTTACTTTGTCACATGGAAATCCGGTCTATTAATTAATTTTTCTTTAAACGCTCCTTTCCTAATAGTCTCCAGTTTGTCGTTTAGTTTATCAATGTAGGGATACAATTCATTATTTTTTCTTTAATTAATTAATTAGTGTCAAAAGAATTGCTGTTTTTAAGTCTAAAAAGCTTATACTCTCTAATATTTCGACGTCAGTTGATGTGTTTTTAGAGTCTTAAAGCCTCGATTTATATTTTTCGGCTTTGGCATTGCAAGTGATCCTATAATTTGCTTTAGGCATTTGTATATTTTATTTTCATATTAATTTTTAGTTACACAGATTGAGTTTTTAAATAATCTCAAGACCCGTTTAATCAAATGTTTATGGCGAACATAGTGGATACAAAAAATATGAAAATCCTTAGTCAATGTACTTTAAATTTCAATTAATTTCACCAAATTGTTCTGCAATGAAATGTTTGTAAATTTCTTACAAATTCACCGTTCATGAGGTTTTGTTTGATATGTCATGCTGCGAATATGTTTTCTGTTAGCTATTTTTTGTATAATTTTTTATTTAATTTTTTTAGTGTAGCTTTGTTGGTTTTGCAGAAGTTGTTTCTGATTGAAATTTCGTTGCGTTATTTATGGTCTTCCTAACTTTTTATATTGTTGAAGATGAAGACGTCGATTTGTTCGACTGTGTATTAATTGATGTTTAACAGAGAAGTTTTATTTTGTACTTTAGTTCTTTGCTATTTTTTTCCTGAAGTTGAAATTGATTAAATTGAAATAAAGTCTGGATTATTCCTGATTTTCACATCCATTCTATTGCGTATTTCATTCTTTCATTTATTTCCATATCGCTTAGTCGAAATTAAGACATGCGGACATGATGTTTGTATTTGGTTTATAATTTACTTGTTTTATGAAAGATAATGTTTGAATATTTTATATAATTATTGCATTTACTTAAACATGCTGTTATTCTCTGAAAATAATAGTTGAAATATGTATATTGATTCTTATGTTCTTATGCGTAAAGATAAAATTCATTCAGGGAACTCGATACATGTGGGTTATACAGAGTGTCTGGAAATAAATGCGCAATGTTTTTTAACCAACTTGTGGTGTGCTTTAATGTTTTAAATATTAGTCGCTCTTTAAAACTCATCCTCAATTTTGAAAGTTTATAGTCTCTTGAAAATGTTTCTTTAAACGCAATATTTTCCCTCGTATAAATGCATTTTTTGATATTTTGTTTCATAGACGGGTATTTTTTGGATCGAATTTCAAATTGCTGATACTCCGAAAGAGGGAACCATTTGACAAAAATTATCAAAATGCACTTCCCATCTAATCTCCAAACTCCACTCAAATTATTTTGGAATTCACATCATTAACACATACGCTCTTGACCAGTTTGTTGGTTTTTAACTCTTTTACTTATTAACTATTTAAATTGCCAAATATTCGAAAGCTTTCTGAGTTACAGCGATTTAAATTCTCTTCATGGAAAAATTATTATTAAGAGATTTTTTCGTTGCCTTTCAGGTGTTGCACGATCACATTGCTTACCGTTACGAAATCTTGGAAGTGATTGGTAAAGGCAGTTTCGGGCAGGTAATTCGAGCTTTGGACCATATGACCCATAAATACGTGGCGATCAAAATAATCCGGAACAAGAGGCGATTCTATCATCAGGCGCTCGTAGAAGTGCGAATTCTGGACCATTTGCGAAAGAAGGACAAGAACAGCGGCCACAATGTGATCCACATGCTCGAGCACTTTTATTTCCGGAATCATTTGTGTATCACTTTCGAGTTACTTAGGTAAGTGCTGAAGATCTTTTTGAAGAGTGAATTTCATAAAAAAACTTCTTAGGGTGTTTAAAAGTAATTATTGAAGTAACTTCATTATGCTTCCTAATCACTGCAACGATATACTTCTTAACGCAACTTTAGTTTTCTTTTAGTTTAGCGCTGGGGAGTTCTGATCTTACTATTTATTACTTGTTACTTGGAAATTAATTTTGTGAAAGAACCATTTTTATTTTTCTATGGTCTATTTAGCTGCAAACTCCAATCTGACTGTAAATCCCATGATAAATTCCAGTTTCCGACAGAATGCATAAAAATCTGCTTCAAACAAACAACTTGAAAACATGGACTCATATTTTTTATAAAAGCAATCTAAAGGGGCCACTTTAGGATACGATTCCACCGAATTCGTTACGTAGTTGCTTGCTTTGTTGTGTCACGCAACTTTTAATCCGACTTATATCGAAAACGGAAGATAAGATATTTTAACGTAATTAAAAATATTTTTTTGCATAAATCATTGGGAATTTGCAATTGTTTTTTATTAATAAGAAGCTTAATAAGATGAAGGTCTTAAAGCTACCGTTTGGAATCGTGTATTTTTATTTTTCAATATTAGAAGCAAGTTTACTTTTAGTTAATCTGACAATATAATTAATACAGCGAAATATTTACACGATGTAAAACTAGTTATCTGAATGTTTGTTATTTAGGCAATCTAAATGTATTCCCGGTCTTTTTTTCAACATAATATTAATTTTGCAAAGCATATACGGAGTTAAAAACCAGATTTTTAAATTAAAGTGGGATTCAGACACATTGTTATTAAAAAAATTGTACTTTAAACGCAACAAACATGCCTGGAGGAGAAAACAAGGCAACAAAAGTGGAAAGATTGTTAAAAATAAAATGTCACAAAATAAATTTTTCCTTCATTAATTTTATTTTTATTATTCAACTGTTTTATTTAAAACTCAAAGTTTTATTTAAAAAATACAACATTAATAAATGTCGATTATTTGGAACACATTGTCTATGAAAGATGAACTATTTAGACGTAATTATGTATTTTTTTGCATAAATCATTGACAATTTTATATTAAAAAACTAAGAGTTTTATTCAGGTCTTAAAGCTACCGTTTTTAATAATATTTATGCTGCATACCACTTGCAATTACCGCCGAGATACGTAAAGACCCTTAATAAAGTCGAATTATTTTATATTAAGCAACCGGAATTTTTCACTAAAGTAAGCTTTTCATACTCCGACCAAGTGTTTATTAGTTGTAAAACATATTCTTTTGCGTCTTGTATAAATCCTGTGTGTCATAAATCACGCCCCTAAAACTTCAGGTGCTTCTTTCTTTTATTTTTAAATTATGTACCTATTTATATCATGCTTGTGTACGATTTTGTTAATATATATTATTAAAATTTGATACAATTTGCTTCAATAATTTCAAAGCAATAATTCAAGGGATATTATTATAAATTTATCAAGATTTCCCTTAATAAAAAGTTTGCTATGATTATTGTGACAATTTATTTTCAATTACTTAGTTAATGGGCAAATGTTTAATAATGTAAAATAATTTTTAACAAAGTTATCAAAACGAACATACTTGGAATTAGAAATCAGTTTTATGTTTTTAAAGGCATTTTGTTAATGTTAATACGAAAAAATGTGTTTTAAATTCAACAAACGGATGTTAAGAAAAAAAATGAACAAAAGTAAATAACAAAATTAATCAATATTGATGTACATTTTCCTGATTTTTTCAAAGATAACATCCTGAAAGAAATCATTGCAGCCGAAAAAACCGCTCAGCATTCTTACAAAATGGGAACTTTTATTTAATAAGACACTGTGTTTTTTTTTGAATACAGATTTTTGTTTTGTTGTGAAATCTAAATTTGAACGTGCATAATTTAATACATATACATATAATATGATAATAAGAAAAGACCTTGCATAATAAGAAAATTAAGAAGAAATAACTTTAGTTACACCTTTTTAGATAAACCCAGAAATAAGTTTAATCACGGGCTGTGCGTACTTGGTTTTTAATTAAAAACGAGAATATTTGAAAAAACAATGAACGAATTTGAAAAAAAATAGAAAAAATTGTGATACAATGAGTTAATTAACAGAATAATTGAACCCCAACGAAACCGAACTTTAAACCGACCAATAAATTTCCATGAAGGAACAGCTAAATTAGCAAGCGAATGATACTTCGAGTATACAAATATGTCGCAATTAAATAATTTAGAAGAATAACCACCCGTGCACAAGATAAATTTGCCCAATTCCCCAATCAAGTGTTCAACTTCTTCAAGAGAATCGCTTCTTGATGTCAGCCACTTTAGTGGTGAAATGTTGAGAAAGGAAGAAAAAAAGTCGTTTACAATGTTATGAGTACTAATGTACTCGAAATTATTCCTACATATGCAGGTTTACAATACAATAACATTGTATTTTTCGAAACTTGAAAGCTACAATAACCAACTGACCGGATGGGTAGAACATGCGAAGAATGCGTAACATTCAAAAGTTGTCTAAAATATATGCAAAAACAGGGCTGGATTAACAATGAAGAACTTTATCCATCAAAGATTCAAAGAATGTATCATGCCAAATGCCTAAACAAAACGTATTAAACATTCATCCCAACTGATGTTTATTGATTCTTTAAAAATGAGGAAGTCCAAAATTGTTTGAGGCTTGAGGCCTCAGGCGGACATTGGTCTCAATCCGCCCCTGGCCAAGCAAATTCTTCTTACGAAGGGTTTCTGTTTTTTATTAAAGCTAGTTTAGAATTGTTTATTTTTTATTAAAGCGTTGTTGAATCAACAGGACTATCTTTAAAATGTTTTTTATTTCCGTTTACTCCTGAAACATTTTTGAAAATCGATCTAGCTGTTTATTGAATCTCAATATGTAGATACTTCAAGTCTTTATTGTTTATTTATATTATTTAAAATAAAATCAAATCCTATTTGTTGAATGAGAATGAACTACCTACTCAAATGAAGTCATGTTACCTAGTAAAAAAACGTGGTTTATACGAAAATAAAATCATCATCAGTCTACGACATCAAGAGTTTATCAACGAACATGGAAAGGGACAGTCAGAATCGAAACCGATAATCAACAAACAGAATGGATGATCTCACAAAAGCCGCCTGTCATCTGCAAACATTAAACAGATTAGTCTGACCTAAATTCGCTAAATCTGACCCAAAATCTAAAATGCGTACGTATTTACATAATAAAAGTTCGGCTGTTAAGTTGGACAGGAACGCGTCGTAACGCTGCTCAAATAATAACAAATCTATAAAGTAGGTTAAATATTGCTTTTCAAAGTGTTTCTCTCTTTACCTACGATGTAAGCAATTCGATTACATGAACAGTTCGATAAAATATTGCAAGAATATGAGAAACTGTGTTTTATTTAAATATATTTTTTATAATATTTGCAAAACGCAATTTTTATGCCACAGGGTTTTTATGAAGTGCAATATATTTAAAGCGCATATTTTTAATTTGGTTTTCGACGATATAATTGAAACAAATTTTAAAAGAATCGAAAATATATTAAAAATAGAAATAGAAATTGAAATAGAAAAACAGGTTTTTTACGAATAATGATGATTTAGAAGGAAATTGGGGCCAATTCTCGTATGGAATTATACAACCAAAATTACAATTAGGCACCTTATTATCTAATATTATCTTTCGTTTTTTCAATCTCAGTTTTCACTTACTAGGACTTTCTAGCATTTTGAAGCATTACTATTACCACATTTTTTGCTCATCTTTTTACAGTATTTATTTATTTGCTTCTTAAAAATGTCAACGTCTTTACCTAGCTTTGGCGGCCCAGATATTGTATCCCCCAGATCATTTTATGGTTATTTCGATCCAGAAGATTACAGTTTTGTCGTTGTTAAATTATCACATTTAATTTACGACACACGTATTAGTTGGTTTGATAAGCTGATCCGGTCGCACGCGTTTAATTTCTCGAAAAATTAAACAATCAAATGTTTTGGAATTTAAAACGAAAATGTTAAAAGTGTAACATTTAAAGATTACAGTTTTAGAGTTTTTTTTACAACATGAAACATTTCTTAGAACTTATTCTTCTTTCTTTCTTCAAACTTAGAAAATTAAATGCTGTATAACTGATTTTGATTTTACATAAAGAGTACCTACTCTATGAGAATTGGTAAAGCCATTATCTACTTTATTTAAAATATCAAGAAATAAAAAGATTATTTACTTAAAAAATATCGGAACCAGTTCCAAAAAGGGAATCCGAATCTGTTTGAACAAATAACGAGAGTTTATTTTATTAATCTTAATTCCAGTTTCGGACTGAGCTAACACCGAGTTGATGAGGACTACAAATCCCAAGCCGGTTTTGAGCTTGCTTCTTATTATTTGTTCACAAAGTGTTGAAATTTTCACGGTTTTTGTCGGTACCAAATGTTTACTTGATATAATGCGACGTTATAAATGTTTCACATTAGGCACTTCCAGTACAATATTCTTCGATCTTTTCTTGAAATTAGATTCAAAGCCGTACCTTCACTTTTCTTGCGTACTAATTTTAATATTTTGTAACAGCGAAATGCAAATTATTGTAAAACTTATGTTTGACGCTCTAAAGGCCGACAAAACGGTAAAAATGTTTTTTAAACAAACGTTTAACGTTAAAAATCAGTACTAACAGGGGAAAAGCTCCTGTGTTCATTGCTTCAAATGCCAAAGCTGTTTTAAATACTCCAATCCTGAAGATTTCGAAAATAGAGAGTTTTAGATAACAATATAATTTTTACTTGTTTGTAAAGTGCTGAGCTCTTTCATGGGTTATGTAAGTACCAAATGTTTGCTTAATATAACTTTTAGTATTTCATACATTTCTAGAAGATTTTTCAGAACAGTATTCTGCGTTTTTTCACTGTGATTACATTCAAAGCCGTTTTTTTACGTTTCAAGTTTAAGTAATTTTAATCTTTTGCGAAACCAAAATGAACAACTAACTGTGAAGTTAGTGTTTAGTGCTTAAAAGGCAAAAAAGTAAACATTAACAAACGTTTATTTTCCGGTAAAACGCCAGTGCTACCAGAGGAATTCCCAGAAAAGGAATTTGAAGTCATCTACAGCTGGTCTGTTGATTATTTTAAATGCCAATACCGGTTTTAAATATTTTAATCCCTGAAAGTTTTAAAACTAGCCTCATTTTCGCACTTCTGCCAAATACATTTTCAGGCGTTTGTATGTAACTAATTTTATAATCGGGTAGTGCACATTTTGCAAACCATCGTCCAACTTTCAATAATGTAATTGGCAAGGCAACTTGCTAAATTGCCCAAAAATTTTAGGTTTCTCTCATAAAAACATGCTCAATGACCTTTAGAAAAATGTGTAATAGATAATGGATTATATTGTAGATCCCAAAACAAATGATTTTTCGTAAAGGAACTGATGTTTTGCTATTTCAAAAAATGTGTATTCGTTCTGATTGTCTGAAATCACGAACTATTCAGAGCATGTTTCCAATGCATGCCGTAGCTGTGATCATGATTCACATGTGTGAAACATCGGTTTTGCTTCAAAGTTTATTATAAAATAAAAGTTTCAACACGTTAATAAATCGAAAGAATAAAAGTATTCGCGCGATTTGAATTATTTACTATTTAAAACTAGACAGCTAATGAAATTAAAAAAGCTATTTGTAAATGTCTAATTGTTTAATTATTCTTCTCTCTGTTTTGCTTCGAGGTTTATTTTACTATTTGAGGGGAAATAAAGTTAAATAACAGGAAAACTGAGTGCAAGCTAGACTTGATTTGATAACTAATTAGAAGATGTATTTGAGAATTTGTTTCCAAAAAAATGCTAAAATGTTGCCTCACATTTAAGTATTTTTAAAACGACTGACTGAAACTCTGACTGACTAAAAGTGCTCTTGTTTCTCAATGAGTAAAAACATGAATAAATTCTTGTTCTTTATTGAAAAATATCAACCCTCTTTATCAATTCGTAATAAAAAAACGCCAGGAAATTTTGCGTTCCTAAAAAGGTTTACAAACACAGGAATTGATTTGATATTTTTTACTGTAATATTGTTTTTCATTGGACACCATAAAAGAAAATTTATGTCATTACGGAAAAGATAAACAGCGCAAATTGAAGATAATGTGAAAATGATCAGTCAATGTAATATCAAAAGAATTCTTCAAAACCCGTCCGAAATAGCGCGATGATTACCGTTAAAAACAAGTCACGTACTTATATTGTGTAAAACAGGATGTCTGTTTTAATAGTCTTCGCGTGAAGCATGTTGTTAACAATAACAATTTCCACAAACGATAACGTACTTTTTATCTGGAATACAAATAAATTGTGATAAGTAATAATGTATCAGCATGAATTTCCTGCAATAAAATAATAAACAACTAAACATTGTTTAGAAAATCCGAACAACTTTTGCAACGGAAAGACCAATTAATCTGATTTGAACAAAAATGGGATTTTGGTTTTTTCTGTCATAGAAAAACGAGACAAATTCATAAGTTAGTATCCAACCAATGAGATATTACAGAAAACTAAACATTTTTTATCAAACAAGTTTAAAAAAATAAAATTTTTAGGGTCGAATTACAACACATTTGTTTGGTTTCTTTCTCGAATAAATTTCTTTCCTTTGCTCTAAATATTATTTTTGAAATAGCAGAAACTTGTGTTCTTCAGTTTTTAGGTAGCAAATATCCGCGCCTGAATGTATCTTCAATTTATATCGATATAGATTTGTTGTTTTTTTTTTGGAAGAGCCAGAACTTGGGCCATAGTAAGACTCTACAGAATTCAACATTTTCTAGAGTGTATGCGTTTATAAATTAATTATTTGGGTTAGAGATAAACTCACAGTATTAGAGTAGAAAATACAATATTCTTCTGATTAACTCTTGATTGCTATTAGCGATTTTATTCCTGTTTGAAGCCTTTTCTAGTCGAATTATTATTAAGTCAGCAAGTGGTTTTGGAAAAACATTAGTCCAGCAGATCAAGTTTCTGCAGGGTGGAAAATAAAACAATGCAAAATTTCTGAAAATTTGGCATGCTACCAATTTGAAAAAATATATTTGTTTGGGTTTCAAGATAAATCGCATGAGCTCTTAGCTCAATGCGAATTTTATTTCTTTTCTTACCTCTTTTACCCACAGCTCAAAAAATCAACTTTCAGTTCAGAAATCCATAAACGAAGGTTTTTGTGCAACTGAGAGCATGTCAAACTTTCAGCAAGTTTACATTATTTTATTTTCCACCCTATAGGAAATTTAATTAAAGCGATATTTTTTTTCAAAAAGACTTATTGACAGAAAATCAACTGGACTGGATAACTCTAACATAAATCAAATCGCCCACAGCTTTATCCAGTTCCAAAATTAGGGCAAATTTGGGTCTGTAACATTTCGTTGGGCACATGAAATAATCCCGAATTTGGCTTTCCTTCGTCAAGAGAACCGCATTTGTAACAACTTTAAATTCCATTAATTACTCCGCAAAAGAAGGTCTATAATTTCGAGGGACTTAAAGAAACTGCAAATAACTTCAATTATTTAATATTTTCCAGTTTCCAATGCTGAAAACCGTTTTTTCATAAAATGAAATTTCCTAGTCAGGCAAAATCTCCTCAACCAAAGAATAGAACTGATCGAAAGGACAAAAATGTGAACATCCAGGAATCGACAAAGCATGTGGGCTGCCCTTGCGGTAATCCACGTAGAAAAGCTGGAATTCAAGCATATTTACTTGGACAAAATATGTGGTAAAATAGCAAACCTTAAGTCCATATACGCCATCAATTTCGTGAAGCTCAAGTAACACTGCCGCTCCATAAGGAGGACTTTCAGGCAATGCGAAAGCATCTAAAGACAGCAAGAGGCAGCCTACATTAAAGTCGTGGGCAGAATACAGAAACATTTTTCTGGAGGATGGGGAAATGGTTCCATTGATAAAGGCCTCACTGTCTGTGAGAATCTTCTGAATAAAAGGTCCTTAAAAAAAGATTATCTGCCCAAAGAAATGATGATATTCAGTTTGCCTACCGGAGACGACCTTCCGACGTTCGGTAGTATTAGTAACTATATAGTAGTAGTCCACCACAAAAGATTTTATAGGCTCTGGAAAGACCTCGTGTTCCCATTCTTTCTGAGGGAACCCCAGTTGTATCTGCCAATAAATGTTTCATCAATTTTGTGTCCACTTGTTCAAGATAGTTTATAGTAAAATACCAGCACTTTTATCCCATCAGTAGTCAGGAATGCTGCATAGTAATCATCCGCTGCGATGCCGGTATTCTCGCTCAGAATCTCCATCATTTCCCCATACCGGGATGCTAAATATTCGCTAGTTTCCGAATTATCAAAATATCCCGCTAAAGTACTATTTCCCACAGCTGTTGATAGTACCTGCATTCAAAATTAATAGGACTGAACAAGGTCCAGATATAAATTAAGCTCACAGTATCCTCTGAAGATGAGTAGTAGTTGTAAGGAATTGGCTGCCAAGGCAAGTCGTCGTTCCATACATTTGAGCCTCTAGGCGGCCATAAACCAGCCAAAACCAACAATGCCGACATTTTAGTTCGGTTGTAATCCGTTGTTCGAACATCAAGCAAATTGCTGTTCCAGGTGTCGCCAAGAAATTCATCATATCGATCTCTTAGCAATACTCCTAAATTATATTCAGTCCGTTTGCCTGCCTAAAATCCCTATAGTCAAACTATGTTTTCCTAATCTTAGGAGTTTGAAGCATTTACATTAGTTAACTGACCAAAACCTTCTGGGTAGAAGCTTTCGTTAGCGAAAGGGCTTCCTTCCCAAAGGGTAGCTTGATCTGGATTCCGGTTTCCATGTCGAAATAACTAAAAGTGAAGCATTTTATTTATCACTGCTTATTTCATTCACCAAAAACTCCAATTTTTCGAAAATTTTACTGAAAGCAAACAGTTATAAGCTAAAATTATTAAATATGTATATTGACGTGGTTGGAAAGCGTCTAGCACTCGCTTTGATTCAGTGATTACACAATTTACACGTTTATATTTAAAAACCGGTACTTCCTAGAATATCACCTTTTGAACGAATTAAGTTAAGAATAAATTGTACATTATTTTTTCACACTCTATACACATTCATTTATATTTATTTTGATAAAACTGCATATATTTTTTCTAGTTCTCCCACCATGTTTATTTCCTAGTTTTTTCAAAAAATAGGAAAATAAACTAACTGAGATTTAAATAAATAAATGTATAACTGTGAAACAGATTATACTATTGTGTGAACATTTTAGTACGATTTCAAAGAGAAGCAATATACACCAATTATTTTGACGGGCAATTACGAAAAAGCTTCTAAAAACATTGTGAATTAAATATAACAAGCTAAATATAGCACAAGAATATTTTTAAATAAAATAATTTTGTAAAACTAGTTAAAAACGAATCATTGCACTTTCTCATAACGGTTTTGCTCCGACATTGATAGAGCGAAAAGATAATATATTTAGAAATTAAAAAAATCATTATTAAATTGAAGACTTTTAATTGCTAACTTTTTCCTGATTTAACCAACAGTTTATCATTTACTGTTTCCGATATTCACATATTGTTTTTTTCGTTTACATACAACATTAAAAAAACCTTATTTCCTTGAAAAACTGCAAAATAAATATGGTTTGAGAACTAGACAAACATATACGTATATAACCAAATAAATTGAATGAATGTGTATGGAGTGAGAAAAATTTAAGTTTTTATTTAGACTTTTTACACTTCCAGCACTATAATTTCTATATTCTCTTTGTTAAATATATAAAGTTATATTTAAGTGTGTCGAAATAGTTTTGAGGAAGTATTGAGCGAGTAAAGTGTCTGAGTTAGTTTCCCATAAAGCCTGTAAAATTTTATAAAAGTAGATTTAAATTTGATTTGAGGGAAGTAATTTTTAATATAAAACTTGAATTTTATGTATTTTGTATACAAGATAAGTTACAATTAGGTGTACAAATAATTACAGGCACACTTAAAGATATAAGATACACACGATAAAAATTATTATAATGATAAACGAACTAGTCTGAAAATCTTCATTACGAAAATACTGTCGAAGATTTATTGAAAAATTTGGAAGTTATTACTGAAACGAGTGGAGATATTGAAATAACATTTTGTATAGTTTTCCGATGTATAAACAATTATTTTAATCTTACCAATCGCGTTCAGACGGGCACGTGTATTTGTAAAAATTTACGCATATCTGCAAAGAAAAACGGGTACCCCTTAGGTACTTTTTAGGAATGTAGAGAAAATGTATGTTATTCTCCAATTTATTAAGAGTCAAAAATTGTTCTTTACATTTGTTTGTTCGACGCCCCGTTTTCTACTTTAAAAAATGTATTCTTTAAGTGTGCGTTTTATCAATTTATTTAAATCATTTTTTATTTAGTGTTTAACACATAAACATGAAACTGGAATAAACGGAACACCACAGTAAATGTTCACAATCCGTTAAAATTACATACTTATATCGGTTTTTGCAATGAATCTACACCTTGAATTTTCGTAACAAACCATTTTCCGGATTTGATGCATTTAGTAAAGAACAAAGAAGCGCAAAAAAATAGTTAACTAATATTTTATTGATGCCAGTTTTATCTTTCGTTAAATGTAGAAAATAAAAGTGAATTTCTCTCAACTTTAACTGTCGCATCATTATGCACGTGTGAAACATTCAAAGCAGCACTTAACATCAAACCGTAGACAAATTAATCATTAAAAAAAATATAAACTGGGTCAATATAGTTTCAAGGCTTAAACGCTAAGCCTCAATTTGAAAAATTGTTTTGGTTAGAAACACTTGAAAATTTTTCTTTTTAAATTAATGTGCACTTGCTGCTGATATTTTTGTAAATATTTTTCACTTACCACATGAACTAACTTAAGGGAATCGCTGTCTTCAGCCCTACAGGAACTGGTAGCCAAAAAAAACCAGACAAACATCAAGTATTGCATCTTGGATCGATCGCAAAATAAACTTGGGGAAATTATTTTTATAGTAATATATACACACTAGGTTTTTTTGTTCATTTATTAATTAATTATTGTATAGAATTGAGGCTTATGAGATTACGTCGTTGTTTATTTCTGATTAAAAGATGGTGGAGCATTTATTACATAATCGTTGGACAACAGTTTTATTAACTTCTTGTTTTTTAAATGCCTTTCACAGAAAATCCACAGAACCTGATAAAATAAATCCTTTTATACCTTATTTTTTACAATCCGCCGAGTAAAAAGCCTAAAAAAAACCATTGTTAATCAAATGCAATTTGGGTTTGATCTTGACCCCTAAGTATATTGGAAATAAATGGATTTCTTTGTGTGAATGTAGTTATATTATATGTTCTGGTTATTGAAGCTTCAGGAAAGTGAATTAATTTTGTTATTTAAATAATTAATTTCCGTTCGATATCAACAAAACCCAAATATTTTGTTTATACTATTTATTATTATATTTTATATTAATATTATTTTTATAACTATGTCTAATTTCAAATTTTCCGTTTATTTCAGCCTTAATCTATACGAGCTAATAAAAAAGAACAACTACCAAGGCTTCAGCCTCAACCTAATCAGGAGGTTCGCCAGCTCGTTGCTAAAATGCCTCAGGTTGTTGGAGAAAGAAAACATCATCCATTGCGACCTGAAACCGGTAAGTGCATTGTAATTTACCACTATAAATAATGTTTTAATTTCGCTGGTTTTATTGAGCGCTTTGAAAACGGCGCCAGCTTATAGACTTATTGAGATTAATTAATAAAATAATTTACGTGCAGAATTCGCGTTCTTAATAATTCCTGGCTTGGGTACATTAGTTGGGTAAATAATGTTGGAATTACGTATTTTTATGTATTTTACTAACTTTATTTTAGTTTGTTAAAGAATCATTGAGTAAAATTGAATTTGAATGAGTTTTGATTATTTTATTAACAATTGTTTAAAAAAATATATGCAACACATACATGTATGTAAACAGCAGAAGAATTCAATTCTTTAGACGTTCATCAGAATAGTTTTTTTCATGAAAAATTGTGGTATAAAAAATATGGTTTACATGTTTAAAAAGGTCTGATGATAAAATGGAAAAAAATCATATAAAAGATAATTTCCTAGAAAATCAAAGAAAAGTAAGAACATGCATAAGTTTTGATTTAATTCTACTGGTTACATTGACTGCTTTAATAGTCGTTATTTATTTATTTCACTGGTACAATATGTACGAAGTTTTTAAGTAGGTACATATTTTTTTGAAGGTTTGAAAAGGACTGATACTGAAAATGGTTATTTGGAAAAGATGTTTAAATGCAAAATATAGTTTCTTACAAGGGCATAGAAAAATTTTGGCTCAAAATTCTACTGGAACAAATGCACAGTTTTTATGAACAGTCTATTCTGAACATTTGATTGTTTATTTACAGTCTTCGTAGCAAACCTATCTTTGCACTGATTTTTTGGGGTCGTACAAAACGCTACTTTATTGCAATTAATAAATTTAAAATATGTAGACGTGTTTTGTATTATTAAAGAAGATTTTGAACGCTTTGGTTGTAATGATTTATTTATCAATTGAATATCGGAAGCAACACATTTTACGTTTGGAATAAAATTTATAATTCGAATACAATATTTTGCCGTTTTTTCTTGTACAAAATGCTTTGAAGTATAAAAGGAACTATAACTACATTCTTAGACAAACTAAACGAACATTTTATTCATGAAGTTGAAGCTGTAGATGTAAATATTGATTTTAGCCTTTATAACCATTCGAAGAGTTTCTCTATTGACCGAATCTGTGAAATAAGCTGTAATTTTCTACACTTATTAATAACAGTTAATTGCCCATCATGCTATCATCTCGATAACATAACGAGCATTTTATTCATCAAGGATTAAAGTGAAATTTTAAACATATTATTGATGGCAATTAAAAAGTGAAATTGAATTTTCACTGTGTGAATTGAAGCGCCTGATGCGTAGGTACTAACAAGATAAATTGTAATTTTTTTTTAAACTTGAGAAGAATAAAAAATTGCTTAACTTTCTTAACAAAAAGTAAGGTCAGCTTTGTCTAAAAAATAAAAACTACAAATATTCATTTATTTCCGCTTGAAATGAACAGTAAATTTTATGACACCATTATATTTCGAGCAACTATCGTATAGTGGATTTAGAAAAATCTATCTGGGCAAACAAACCGCCATGAGCTATTGTTAGTCCTAATTTATGATAGTAATAAGTAAATCACTTATTCTAATAAATCGGTCAGTATATCTGACTGATATAAGTAATTACAGGCGGTGCCCAATTCGTGCAAAACAGCTTTATTTTATAATTTTTCACGGCGCTTCAGAAACCCACGTGTTACAAGCATTTCGGTATGTTGACCTTATTAAGCAAACTGTGTGTTAAGTACACCTACATATACAGGATATTTCTTAAGTAATTGATATTTCCAGAGGTTTTCACTCAATTATTACAAGTTTTACTGGGTAAAGTCGCACTTGAAAATATTGGTCTTTTCTCAAAAAAATGCTCTGTATATCAAGATTCACAATTATTTCTCTCAGAGTTAATATAACATATTTATATACAATCAAATAAAGCGTAAAGAATTAAAACAAAATTAAAAATCTGCGACAGTTCTTGAGTTTCACAAATGAATAATGTTGCCACAACAGCAAAATTTCGCGATCATCACCCCATTAAATGTCTACATTTAAATTAATGAACATCAGTCTAATTTACTAGATAATAAAGCGTGAATGCCACTTTTCTACTACTTTTCATTATGGAATGCACCACCCTTTGCGTTTTGCCCCCATAGAAACTGCATTAGCCGGATTAACCCATTCTAAGTTTATACCGATCTTTAATTCATTTCGATGTATAATTAATTAGTGAGTTTATTCTATTCCACCTATGCAAAGTGATTAATTCTAGTTGAATTTAAATGCATTCATTCATATGGTTGTTTCAGGAAAATGTGCTTCTGAAGCAACGAGGCAGCAGTTCAATTAAGGTAATCGACTTTGGAAGTTCCTGCTATTCAAATCAACGAGTCTACACCTATATACAGTCGCGATTCTACAGATCGCCCGAAGTTATATTGGGATTGACATATGGAACCGCTATAGATATGTGGAGTCTTGGTAAGTACAAGAAACTGCTCTCTTTGCAAAATATGAACGATTTTCTTTGTTTCCAGGATGTATTTTGGCTGAATTATATACGGGCTATCCACTATTTCCCGGAGAAAATGAAGTGGAGCAGCTGGCTTGTCTAATGGAAGTTTTGGGCGCTCCACCCGATGACCTCATATCAGCAGCAACAAGGAAAAGATTATTTTTCGGTAAGCACCAGACAGGATAATTCAATTAATTAATTGCCAAACAAACCGCAAGAAATTAACATTCAACGGTAAAATGATGTGCACACACTTGGTAATTAATCTAATTAACTACATATTTATTTGCATAAGGTATGTGTAATTTGGCGTGTTTGTTCTCGAGTGTTACGATCCTCCGGTGATTCTGAGGCGTTAAGAATAATTCCAATTAAACTTTGTTGTACAATTAATTTTTAAGCGTTCTATATTGTGGCTTATTTATATTTATGATGCTAACCGGAAATCAAAAAGATTAATTCAAGATTTTACACAAAAAAAATGTAGGTATTAAGAGCGAATCAAATAGCGGAGTCACAGATTGTTTTAAACTCGTTTTCTTTGCTTGTCTTAGAAACCATCTTAAATTGTACAGCTTCAAGATAAGGAATTTTCCAATTTTTTAAGAAGATAATATGACAACAAAAACAATATTTGAACAAGTTTTGCAAAAAATAAAAATCGTTAATCATTTTCAGAAAATTATTTCGGACATACACTTGCGCTATTCTTCACAGGTGTAAAACTTGTGTTCAAATAAAGAACCCTGTATATATAAAATAAAAAATCAGTGTTAGATGCTTCAATTCCATACTGGTAATTTTCTATTTGTATTAATGTGAATGTCTACCAACAGGGGCATGTGTTTCGGTTATAAAAAATAACGAACACTGATTCATTACAAAAACTTTCTGAGACTCTAATTGCTATCAAATCTAAGTGGCTATAGTAGATACGGTCAACAGAAATTTCAATGTTCAATGGAATCAACTGGCTCCATCAAACGATGCTAAAAGCGACACCAAATTATAGATAGCCCAAGTACAAACACATCAAAGTCTAGAGAAACGTACACGAAAAAATTACAAAATTGTAGAAAAGTGTACCACACTGCTTAAATATTGAGTGCGTCTATAAATATCTTTAGAGATATTTTCATCAACAACAAGATGTTGTATGTCAAATAAAATTAGTATTTTTGGTGCACTCGGTAAAATTTCGAAAATCTTATAACTCTACATGGAAATGTATTAATTGAAAAGTTAAAAAAAGCATGATAAAAAGTACTTAAAACAACAAGTTTAATACAAGCACATTGAAGAAAGACATTGCAGATAAAATAAAGTTAAAACACATTTTCTAACAATTGTACTTATTTTAAATCGAATATCAATTTATGCGTATAATACTCCCGTTTACACTGAAATAATGATTGTCAATGGACGAGAAATTGAAAGCTTGAATTGTTCAGAAGACAACTGAAATTGAAATGTTAACTAACGATCTTAAACTATTTATTTCTATTAGTTATTCGGTTATATAATTTTTTTAATTTTAAATTATATTTCACACTACTTCAACTTTAAGTAAAAGCCAACATTTGCAATGTTTGGGAGAACCTAATGTCTTCTGATATGTTGTATTAGTTATTTAATATTGTCAATTGTCGGGTGATGTTTTTGTTATTTTTTTATTAGGAATTATTTGCTTTAATCTAATTCTAACTTTGGAATTGTGCATTCTTGTATTGCGATTTGTTAAATAATCGTTTACCTTTGGGAAATAGAGTTAAATGAAAGATCATCGGGATCTTACTTTTTTATTGTTGTTTTCCTATTTTATTTTTACAAACTGCATTTGAACTTCTTCATAGTGCATTTTTAAGTTAATTTACAATTGGTTGTTTTTTAATAACTTTTTGCGTTAAGATCATAAAATACGTTTTTTATTCACTTTATAGTATTATTATTATTATTATTTTATTTATTATTGTTATATATTTAGCTGTAAAATGCCTTAAGCTTCGATTGGGGTTTTTTGTCGTTGGGTTTGGTTTTAAATTGAGCAATTTTTTGCAGATTCCAGAGGAAACCCACGTTGTATAACGAACTCAAAGGGAAGGAAAAGGAAGCCGGGAAGCAAAAGCCTATCAATGGTTTTATCTTGCAGCGACAGCATGTTTATTGACTTTGTCTCGAAATGTTTGGAGTGAGTATTTTCACAATCATTTACTTTACTTGTGAATAAAAATGTTACGAAAATGCTTCGAATTAATTAAAACCATTGAGAAAAAGCTTGACTGTACAGACATTTTGTAAAAGAAAAATTCCATACTGCTCTGCTGTTGGTAATATTTCTTCAACAAGTTCATCGGCTTTGGACAAATGATAAATTCTTGATTGTCATGGTACAAAAATTATCAGAACTTTTTACTTCGAAGCTGGAGTTATATCTATTTTTTTCAGTGGATGCATTACTTCTTTGTCGAGATTTTTCAGCTCTTTGTCAAATCCTGTAGTATTCATAGTTTATACGCAAAAAAGTTGCCATTATTATCAATTTGAATTAAGTGTGAATGAAAATCTGTGATGTATAGCATATTATTTTATTTCATTAATTCAATTTTATTAACGCGCCAGGAATGTACACATTTGTATAACAAACGAAGACATAAAATTGATTGAAATTGAATGAATAGCGCAATAAAAGACCATTTCTCATAAACCGCAATTGCAAAAGGTGTCGGATATGCCCGCGATGTTATTGGATGCATAGATAAATACTGCAATGTACAGTACAGAAAAGAGTATTTGCTCCAAAACTATGAATGCTTCAAGATTTAATCAAGAGTACGAAAATATCGGGAAAGGGTTACGGTTTAATCGAAGCAAAAAATTAGTTTATTCCTCCGACCAAGGAAAAATTTCTGCAAGTTTTCGAATCAAAACCCTCAAGAATTTACCAACTCATTCTTAGCATTCCCCGACATTTTTTTGAAGAATTTCAACAATCGATGGGAGAACCAAACATTTTTTTTGTTAATAGAAGTCAAGTCAGGCCGTCTTAATTTAAACCTAAATTTAGGCCGATTCTTCTTGAAAACTTTTACGGGCTAAAACATATAACAAACAGTTAAAAATGCTTTTAAAAGTTAATTTTTTTTTCACACTGTGACTGGAGCACAGGACAGAAAATAATATAATAACAATTACATTCAGTCAGGAAAATAAATCGAAATTCAGAATATTTCCCAAGAAAATCTTCCAGAAATTATTTCGCTAATTTGCGGGACAAATTTTAATTTAACGATTAAGCACTGGTCATCGGTCGCTTTCTGTTCTGTTCAATCTTTATTTTTGGACTTAAATAAGGCCATCAAATCTCACTTTTACGCCTACGGGCTTTCTATGAAATGTAGCTAGATCAATCCAAACGACCTGAGAATGCCGCAGTTCCATTTTGATCATGTGCTCAAGATGTCCCAATATTATATTTACTAATTAATAAATATATTTTATTTTAATTCCAGTTGGAACCCAAAGCGTCGCTTGACACCAAATGAAGCTCTGAACCATTCTTGGATTCTATCAGGTTCGTCTCATGCGCGCCAGATGAAGTCGGGAGAGTTGCGACATAGTCACTCAGAAGTGAACGTGGCTAATGATAGTCACTCCTCTTCAAGCAGTATTTCCGGAGGAAGTCATCCGAGGCCTCAGTACAAGTGTAGTATTGAACAGGACCCGGTCAGAGCCAAAATAATCACAACGTTCTTCGAAGACGGTTCCACTCATAAGTTGGACTCGAACCTGAATGATTCGGGTACTTTTCTGCCTCCCTTACTATAGTATGTCTTAGTGTTTACTGGATCGTGTCTGTCGAATGGATATAGTAGGAAATTGATTTTAGATTGCGGTAGAAACGTGACCAAAATACTGCCAAATTGTTAATCGTCCCGGATGACGTATCTATATCTATATAATATAATGCAAGTAGAATCAATCAATGATTTAGAATTTATAGATGACTGACCTTCTGCGTCGGTAGCCTGTGGAAGGCTTTGAAAAATGGATATCATATTATCAGGGTTATACTAAGCTGAAGGATTGTTGTTTGTTGTAAGAAACTTGTAGATAACCATTGGCTTTCAGTAACAGTGATGTATGTACACGAAAGTTAATAATCTAGAATGAGGACTATTGTATACCTATCCAAGTTCTATGAAGAAATTCAAATTCCTCACCTTCTGGAAATATAATGCCAATTGCGTTAATTAGAAAAAAACATTTTGCTCCCGTTTTAATACTTCTTTTTGCGCTAGAACTTCAACTTCGCAGCAACAACCGGATATTGCAAAAAATACATATCTATTTACTAAACCTAAATGATAATTTATTGTATTTTACATATGTTTTTAATTATGCTCTCTTTCTGGATTTAATTCTTTTCTTAATTTTTAATTAGTTTTTGGCTATTTCAATCCTGTTCCATTTCCAACAACTTCCTCTTCAATGTTTCAACATTTTTCAGAATTATCCAAGCATTAGCCAAACATCTAATCTTTCAATTTACTTCCTATACATTGAATCCACGGAAATTACAGCCCAGGCGACGTAGGTTAAACGTGAAAAAAACGTCAAAGCACTCTTGAACCTCCCAAAATCACGTTTTTATGACGACTGTACGACGCGAGCTTGTCTCACCCGGCTCCCTGAGTTGTCACTAAAAAAGACGTGATATCTACGTCATTATCACATTCATTAGGGCAATAAAACATATAAGTTGCATCATTAATGTCCGGTAGTACCGTGATATTTAGCGAAAGCTTAAGCAAAGAATCGGTTTTCTTATCTAATGACTTGGAACTTTCCTTTTTCTCCTTTTTGTGATTCTTTTGCTTTGCTTTCATTTATTAACTGTGGCTTCTAATGAATTTCAAACAATTTCCAATATTGAAATCTTTTCCAGTCTATTACTTTTTTATCGGTTTTACTGCCTGTGAAGTTATTTCTGATAATATTGCTGAAAAGAATACGCTCAATAAGAGTTATCGAAAATTGAATATTTCGAACCGTTTGTGAGATACAGAGTGTTTAGTTTCGGGGACCCGTCAATTTTAAACACTTCCGCTACTATATTCTTAGGAGTTTGAAAATTCCGATGAAACCTAAATGTTGGAAGATGGATTTTGAGATTGGCTATCGAAGAACTCATTAGGACTGTTCCAATATTTTTACTCATTTCGGAAATATGACGTTTTTAAACTTTCAGACGCCTATATAGGGGCGAGGCCCTAGTTCAGATTTTTTTGTTACAGAAGAAAGTTAAATATTTCCTTTTTCGAATAAGTACCTACTTACAAAAATCATTACTTTTGAGTGGTCGATTTATGGGCGAACCCCTACTTTGATTTTGACGCTCAATAAGTTTCAGCTTAGCTTCAGCTTCAGTTTATTTGACAAATGCGATCAAACTTTAGCAATAATTACTAATAATATTAAATGCAACTTTTACTAAATAACCAATTGCATCAAAAGTGATTTTGGTTTAAATAACGTCTTTATTATGACGCTAGTTCAAGTGGCCCACTTCACGTAGATTAAACGTCTCCTTGATATTCAAATTAAATTGTGACTGAAAATCGACCTCGTTTAATTTTTTAACTAGTCATATTTTTGATTGATTGGGTTCAAGTTTCAATAATAAATGATTCACAAACTGCTTAGTTTCAATTTTTCGAATTTTTCTACAAAAAAGAAATCCAAAGAAACTAATAATTCCGGTTGTTTCCTGGGCTAAATATATGATGCTTCCATATTTCAAGCTCTTCCTAATTATATAATAAAATCGATTTTTTAAAACCTCCCTAAACATGGTCTTCCGAACGTATCTTCATCAGTTAAAAAACCGGACATAGCGCTGACCCGATAAAGCGGTACTATCAGATAAAACAAGCCAATCAACCAAACATCACGGATGGTAAAATTGATCTGACTTAAAATGTTTAAACTGCACTAAAGTAATTTGGAAAATGGATCTCAACAGACAGCGATTCCTAAAATGCAATCTTAAATTTTAAAACTTCTTCTTTTTTTTTAAAACTTCTTTAAACTATTCGTTTGATTCTTCTGATTTCCATTCTAAACACTTCAATTTGTCGCTATATTTCCAGCTAAATGTTGATAGTATAGATAGTGTAATGTAACTAAAACAATGACAATATAGTACTATACTCTTCCTTCTAAAATCTGTTAGAACGGTCTATAAATAGTAATAAAGGCCAAAACGATCTCTTTGTAAGACCAACTAGTTTATTTGTAGAAACTTTAGCGGTGTCTCTGTTTAAGTTGCCATAAGTTTGTACGAACTAGGATTTATTGGTTAATAGTGAGTTTCCTTAGATTAGGTCGCAATCAAATGCGCTTCAAAATCGTCACTATATGATTGAAAATGAGAATTTCTGATTTAATTTCAGTAAAGTTACTTATTTTGAACGCGCATCCTATTCTCGTAGCTGTATTTGTATATAAATATCATTCTAACTCATATTTTAGCTGCTTAGTGTATTTTTACATTTTATTGTTCTGTATTCTTATCCCATTTTTCTTAACTACTAATTTGATTTTATTTTTAATCTAAGCCACTCAAATAATATTAACTTATCTACATACCTTTAAAGTAAGCAGTAGCGTTGGTATAGGCAACTTTACTCTAAAAAAGCAATAAAAAAGATATTGATCGCATAAACGTTTTACAACCATGTTAAAATATGTGTTTATTCTTGATCGCTTTGAATTAATTGAACGCAGCACTTTTAATGAGTAAAGTTGACTATAGTGTTACTATCTAACTCCTAATATTTGACTGACCTAAATATCGTTTTTAGATATTTTGTTATTTCCTTAAGAGGATCACCGATAACCACCCCGAGTACCCATTTTCTTTGGGTATTTTTATTTAAAGTGATTGTCTTTCCTAAACAAATGTTTCGTTTGATAAATATGCTAAATGATTGAAAAGCGGACTACTTCCATACGAAAAGTTTGTATGATTGTATCTACTTGTTCCAAAAACAAACAACTTTGTTGTTGTATAATAGATTATCTCCATCGAGACCTATTTGAGAATGCTTTATATGTATACCTTAAAATAAAGAATTATTGTATGTATTAAATCTAAAAATAAAATTTTAAAAACAAAATGGTCTGTAAAAACCGAATATCTATTTGCCATTCAAAGTCAAATGTTCCGATATTTATGTATGTACGTAGTATTAAGTGATTTAAGTTTTGGAAATATTCTATCTAATACAGTCGTTGGCCCATCTGTTGCAGAAATTTAATTATTTTCCAAACGCAATTTATTTTATAGAATGTTGAGGCAACCCATTGTGATAAGATTTTGAATTAAACATATACCTACTAAACCCCGATTAAGCCTAAATAAAAATTTAAAAATAGTCTATTGAGGTGTTATTTTTTTACCCAACAGCAGTATTTTTATGTAAGAAGCAAATGACAAATGTTTGCTTTCTTACGAAATGGAACGATTATAATCATTCCGCAGACATCCAGAAGCTTTGTTATGTTTTCTTCAAATTCTACCAAAAAGGTTTGAAAAGTACCAGATACTTGAAAACGTGGTGTTTTTAAAGAATGTTCAGATTAATCACTTTGCATAATATTTTAAGCAGATTTGATGGAAAGAAGGGTCATGTATTTGTGAAGCACTTTTACGGTAGATTCAACGACAAAAATAATATTAGCACGGAAAATGGTTCAAATTCCGAAAAGATTTTGCTAAAGTCTCTGCAAATTCAATTGGGACTGAACGTATGAACCTGCATGCAGCGCAAGGTCGCTGCTGAGTTTCAACTGGTGAAAGTTTGCATAGACGTTACCAAAGTATAGGATAATGAAATTTGAAAAATTATTTTATTGCACCTCGTACTTCATTTAAACATTTGTCGGAAGGTTTTTAATTAATTTTTCATTAATTTTGAATAATCTAATTAATTAGAATTAGCGTTTATCACGCTGGTCAGAATATGGAACTTAATAAACTTTTATTCATATTGTTGAAATTTGGCTGCAGTATTTGCAACAGTAAGGGACAAATTTTGCCTTAAATAAACTAAAATTCGTCATACCAGTGGAGTGGCGGAAAATAACATGGCCAATATTTTTGGAAAAAAAATGTGCGCTGAGGACTTATTTTTAATTCGCTACTGTATTCGGATTAACGGGATTTTAGTACAACTTTTTTGTCTCTTGATATTTTTTCATGGCTCGCTTCATTTTCGAGATATTAAGTAAAAAACTGCTTTATTTTAAGTCCCTGGTACCTACAACATGACAAAAATATCCATTTTGAGGCTGGTATTCACACACCCAGCAAAAATCAGCTTTTCAGCATTAAGGGCGATGTTTATGAAACTTTCTGCACCTATAGAGACAAACAATTATCGGGTGAGAGTTTATAATACAATTTGCTTTAGTTTGGACGATCCGTATTCTTTAGGACAAGAGCGCTGTTGGGTGAAGAAATCCATTTTGAGACCGGTATCTTCTAAAGCGGCAAAAATCAGGATTAATCGCGATTTGCGGATGTCTAATGTTCAAAGAAAGAGCGCAGTTGCGTAAAAACATCAATTTTAAAACCGGTATTTACCAGCCTGGATTAAGGACGATTTCTATGAGACTTTCTGCGTCTTTAAAGTCGGGTATTTTCTATTGGCGCTAAAAATTTGAAGTCGGTACATGTGTTAGTTTGAAAGCTGCGAATTTTTTAACGAGAAAACCGAGTTGAATGGAAACACCCATATACGACCGCTATTTATTCAGCAAACAACAATAAGAATTATGGGCGATTTTTATGAAACTTTGAGCATATGTAGAGTTAAGTGTCTGTAAGAAGATGGTAGAATTTCTAAATTGTTGCCTGCTTGTTGCAAAAAAAGAGAGAGTGCAGTTCCATTATGTATCCATTATGAGACCGATATTTCGTAGTGAAACTCAGGAATTTAGGCGATTTTTATGAAAATTTCAGTTTTAGCAACCAAGTATGATGATCCAAACTTAACTCTCTTAATGTGTAAGTGAGAAGTGCTTAAGTGACCACACACACTGTACCGCGGAAAACTATTAATCACAACAAAATATAGTTGCAAAATCAATTAATCTAATTCAAACACTTTAACTGATCGGTTTCAAAGCATATAAGATGCAAATAGTTTTAGGCGGAAGTAAAGTTGGAAAAACTCGCCCGAGTTTATGACGACTCTCTCGATCAGTGTACCCGGTTTGCGGTTTAGCGCCGTTCACAGTTGAATTTTGAATTTCAGTGTCAAACTTGTCTTCATCTATGGTGTCAAATCTAAAATGGCATTCGCTTGACATATGTCACATTTTATGCATTTTGTTTACAAAATGGCCTCTATGGTAAATAATCATTGTCAGACTTTTGAGCAAATTTAGTGCGAAACCCAAAAATTTGAACCGCAATTTTAATATAGCAAGTTAAAGTTGCTAAAAATGCCAAAAAAAGCTTGTTGCGTGGTACCGCATTGTCGAAATTCGTCGGAAAAGACGGCCAGTTTGGGTGTTACATATCAAAAGTTTCCTACAAAAGACAAAACACGTCGGCGATGGGTTCGGGCCACTCAAGCGTCGTTTCGTAAGTTTTTTTGCCATTTTTCTTTTAACTTTTTTATTGTTTACTAAATACTTCTTATAGCCGAATTTACTTTCGATGATTCTACTACACAGCGAATGTGCAGTGAGCATTTTGAAGACAACTGTTTTATGATTAACAAGAATGGGAAAGAAGTGCTCAAGTTAGATGCGGTTCCAACGATTTTTAATGTAAGTACAATAAGTGAGCTAATAATGTCAAAGCCAAGTCTTATGTTGTAAAGCAAATAAAATAGCACATGGAAATGAACAAGACCCCCCTTGATGGATTGTAAAGCTAATTCAAATTCGGCAACTATTCAGCGCTTTTTTTCCTCACTACAAACATTTAATATACATAAACCGAAATAGGTATAAATATGTTTGGTCAATAGGCAAGGGTCTTGTAATCGTAAAATTTGCTCAAAACGTGTGCTCGCCTCTGCCATGAACAAGCAACATTCGAAATACCTATCACTTTTTCTTGAATTATCAGACAGCCAATTTGTTGAATAATTTGCTTAGTTTTTCCCATATCAGCCTGAACACAGTTTGGCTTTTGTCTTATTGCCAGAGTGCGTAGAGCATCCCAACTCACTTAATAAGAGCGAATGTATTATATTTAAATTGTAATATAAATACTTATATTGTAATATTTTACGGTATTAATATTTAGCATAATTATTAAACATTAAGAGCATTCATTTTTATTAAATCATTATGCAAAAGTAGCTCATTTATGTAGAGCGTTTATTAATAAAATGTGACCTGAAATACTATAGAAGTTTGCATTTAAATCGTGAAGCAACTTGTTTATGTAGTATCTACTTAAAGAAACCTTGAGCAGATTTTCTTTGAATTGGGGAAAATTGAAATATAAGTTATGCAAACAGGAAAAAGCAATGAGAGTGCTTGCAAAGCAAAGTGCGAAAACCTGTAAATGAAACACATTAATCGGTATAAAACATTATCCAAAAGTTGGAGAAAGAGAAAGTATGCTCGCAAAATAAAAAATAAAGAACATGTTGAAGATGATCAGAAATAAAACTATATGATTTATTAATTATAAATCACAGAAAAAAGTAGCTGTCGGTTAAGGTGTGTTGATTTTAATGGCGACATCACATACATTTTTTTGGGTCTGTTTTATAAACCTCGTTTTTATGTGAATGAATATCATCAAAATCAAATGAAAAACTATCATTTTTCGATCAGTAGCGATGATCACAAAGAAGTACTTTTCTGTACTGTTCAATTGTTTTGCTTCTACGGACGGACTTTTACGCACATGTGCGCAATTTGAAAGTTTCGAAACGTAAAAATATTGATTTTTGTCAACGTAAGTTCGTAATTTTATTGCAGAATCCTGTGAAAAAGGAAAAAGATGTTGGGACAGTTAGGCCTAGACATCAGTCGAGAAGAGCCGCGAGCAAAGAAGCTCTCAAACAAATGCAAATATTATTAGAAGATGAAGATGATGCCGTCGAAATTCCAGATGACGACGTAAGTGTACTTTTTTTCTGTTAACATTAGGTTTTTTGGCGCTTTAAATATACAGCGGATATTAGAAAGTTTTATTCGCATGTTTGTATCAAAATAAATCTATTAACGTGAAGTACAGGAAGTATATATTTTTAATAGTTTTTTTGACAAATTTTTTTGTAAGGTGCATTATATTTACACAAAAATATGAGAGTTTGCATAAGTATAGACCGATAATCAGTCACATTATCTTCAGAAAACATTAAACGTATAACTCTTTGTTATGTTGTAGGTATAGTTCCCTCAGTTTTTCCATTCATGTCTTAATCTTAATTATTTTAAAGTATCCACACGTAATAAATTAAAATTTGAGAATATATTTATTTTATATCAATATAACTACCAAAGTTTGAAAACCGCTCAAAACTTAAGCGAATCAAAAAAGGCGTCGAATTATTTCACAGTTTAAAGGTCTTTTTAAACTTACAATTGTATGTTTCACTTCAACTGATTTTCGAGTCACATTTCTTTTAGATTTTATTTAAATTATAATTAAAATTTTTAAATTCTATTAAACAAGCTTCTCGACAATGTTTTGAGACAAGTTGAACTAGACCGTGTTTGCTGAACCCAATTTTACTTGCTGAATTGCTGAACCTCACAGCATACAGGATATTCATACATAATGATCGTAAAATATTTTAAAGACGAGTATTTCCAAAAAAGTTTTCCGCTTTGGACTTTTCCTTTCGAAAGAATCTAAATCTCTTGCAAATGACAAAAATTATCGTCTTTGCATAAATAATATCTATTTTGTTTTTTCTTGATATTGAGTTATACTACTAAACAAAGTTTACTTACTTAATCGTAAAGTCAGTAATCGTCGTATTTTGTTAGACTAAAATCGTTATATTATTTATTTTTATGATTGTCTGACGTTTTTAAGTTGAAAACGCACATCCATTCGCTACATGAGATATGAGAACGCCCAACGAACCGTTTAATATATACTAATAGTCAATAATTTGCGAACATTCGAGTACTTATTTAGTAAACTTATTAAATAATGTTTCCAAATATAATTCGATTTTAATTAACTTGGAATTTTGTGAATATATTCTAACTCAGAAATCGCGATAATGTTGCTTGTTTCTCTTCTTTTAAAACATTTAAAAAACGCACAAAATATTTAATTGTATGTATGTAGATGAAGAGAGAACCGTCAGTTGATTTGGTTCACGTTTGCCTATTAAAGTAAGCTGTTGCTTGTTGTTAAATTTATAATGTTAAGAAATATAACTTATTTGATATTTATATTTTAAAGCTACATAAAAATAACACGCCATATGAAAATAGCGTTTAGCATATAGCGCGCTAACAAAATATAGCCGTTACGCGCATCCCTTAGTTAACACATTGAATGATCTAAAATAGGTGGTTTATCGTGAAAAAAAGCTTCCCCATATTTAAATTAGTTAATTCAAGCAGGAATAAAGTACCTTAATTAATCAGTGGTCAATTCACTATCTTGAGAAAAAATTGATATTTTTTTCAACAATCCTAAACATTTATCTACAAAATGTTAACCGAAACCATTTCTGAATAATAAACGCTTTGCAGTTGTTAAAGTTTTTTTAGCTTTATGTATGAAATGAGATTATGGTTAATGCTTATGACAATTTCTTTGAAATTCAAGGTTTTTGTCTCGATAATATTTACGTGAATCTAATATTTCTTATTATACTATCTTTAAAAAAATAATATGTTTTTTTTATTCAATTACAATTTACAACGAAACACACTTTAGCCTAATTATTGGAATATTGTGTATTTATATTTTTCTTCTATTTTAACTATATGCTGTAAAGATTATTTATAAGACTGATATTTCTGTCGCTATGCTTTGAAAAGTGCAAGTAGGAAGAAGTTCTGATAAGATGCAAATAGCACACACAATTATTTTACTATAAGGTCACTATTTTCTTGACGAAAGTGAGTTTTTTATTATGCAGCTGAACTCAACTTTTTGAAACACTCGGAATTATGGTTAATTCACGATAATTGTTTTGCTAATCTGACAAGTTTGAAACAATCTTATTTACCGAATGATCAATTTAGTAATATAACTCAGTACGATTCATATTTTGGTTAACTTGAAAAAAATGAAACTTTTAGTTAACTTAATTTACTCATTATATAATTTGTTTTAGTACGTCTACAAAGGAGAAGTGAAAGAGGTAATTAATTCGATTTTTTTAATTAATATGCTTAGTTAATGTTAATGATTTAAGTTGTTATATGTTAAAGTCACAAGCTAACTACGTTTTGCCATATAAGTTATTTCTCACATATGAAGCAGACAACTGTTTTAGAATACGTAAAGAAAATTAGCTTTTCCATTAAGGCAATGTCGCTTCATTTACGTCATTTGAAAGTAAAAGAACTAAATATATCAGGATTAAAATGCTACCGAAACTGTTGCCACCTCTAACTGTTCACAATTACTTAATAGAAACATCGTGCTTGCGATTAGTTAGTATTTTTTTAGTAATCTGACAAATTATGCAATACTAAAACAAAATTTTACTGAACATTTTTGAGAGTTTTTATGTGCTGATCAAATGTTTTTATTCATAGGAACCAGTGCCAGTTCCCGCTGTCGTTCCTCCTCCAAAAAAGAAATACAAACTAAGCCATCGAAAATCATCAGATGGTAATGGTACACCCAAAGCAACCCCACCCAACACTTTGATCAATTGCGAATCACTTTTAGATCGCGAAGTGTTGGTATTGAAAAGCATAACGCCAAGCATCACCAATCATGATGTCGAAAATAATCTGGAGCTGGAGTGTTGGGTAGAGGAACTGGAACCGTGTCAGAAGGAGCGCAACCAGAAGCTGGAGGAGGAAAATAAGGCTTTACAAGAGAAATTAGATGAGCTTATTAAAGGATGTGACGGTGAAGTGATTTATACAGGAGATCTTACTACTGTTATTGAAGTGGCGGAACATGTTCAGAAAACTATTCAAGGTAAAAAGTGCTTTTGTTTGCCATAAATATTTATCACTTTGAAAGAAATTTTTAATTTATATATTTTTCTGGGAAAGTCAATTTGCGCCTGCTTCATTATTATTGAGCGTAATTATAAAATAGTTCTTTCATCTGTCTTAAACGTTTCAATTGGGTGTTTATCGATACTTTCATTTAAACTGTCCCAACTTTCTTGGTTTCTTTCTGATCAAAGCGACATGTACATTAAATAAAATCGATTTCATGAAGGGGCAGTCAGTGGAACTTCGATGTCTCGAATTTGATTATTAATTTGTTTATTATAAATATTAACTTTGCTTTCAGCTGTTCAAACATCTCAGAATAAACCTCCGATTGTTTTGAATAGCACTGTGGCAAATTCACAACCATACCAACTCGTGGTGGATCCCCGTATTGGTTTAATTGTAGGCTCTGTCGCTTCTAATAATCAAACGTCCCCAAAACCTTCAAAAATTCAGGTAAGACAAAACAAACATTATCAGAAGTATAATGTGAAAATCGTAGATTTTTTTATGTTTGTATAGTACGCATAATTTTAAGTTTTCATATAGTTTTGATAGTCGGACATGGATTTATAAAATCGATTCTTACTGCAAAAACAAAGATTTGGTAGTTAATTAATGCGGTTTTTCTTATATTGACTGATACATTGAGCGTTTTTTTTTCAGGTGACTACAAATCTTCAAACCCCCGTTGTTACACCTGGAAGCCAGACAATCGCAAACCGAAACCGATTAACCAGGACGAAAAAACAAACGTCTGTCGTAAGTACAACAGTAACTACTCCGCCACCACTGACGCCTGTGGGCAGTAGATCTGTTCTAATCACAAAATCCACCAATAAGCGAATCGCTTCTCAGTCCCCTGTGCAAGCCCCACCAGCAACCAGGTCCAGAGGAAATGTGAGTAGAATTAAAATGTTTTGAATCGACTTAACGCCGTGTTTACAAGTCGATATCATACTATATTAAATGCAAAAAAAACATGATTGATCCAATCTAACGCATTTTTTGAATAATTGACTCAAGTAAGACTTTTTCTTATTCGATAATGCAATAATATTCAGCAATTGATTCCGGAGTGAGTTCAAATAGAAATGAACGGAATGCAATCGAAGAAAATACTGCTGCTAATAAGCTTGTTTACTACTGCTACAATACACTACCTGCTCTCAATCTAACTGCATTTTAAACAATAAACTACTATAACATCAAGGTTTTGATTATTATAGCTACAAATGCGAAAAAGTCACAAATCGATTATACTGAAGTATTGATATTTACAACAGTGTATAATTCAATAGGTGTTGTGACTGGCAGACAATTCAGGACAGTCGCATGTACTCAATTTGCTCAGAGACACAAGGCAGACGGCGTAATTAGGAATATGCCATATAACAATAAAACTTAATACAATTGCTTTAATAATGAAAATTTATTTTTGTTAATAGTATTGTCGAGAGAACTCATATAGTTAAATTATATGTATCAACGTGATTTTGACTACACATTGTTTTTGTTAAAAATATAATTGTACAATGGAGTAGTGCAGTTTTTTAAATTTTCGATGTATTTCTATATCTTAATCACCGTTTCTGGAAATTGCACTGAACAATTCAACACTATTAATTGAACTATGTGTTATAAAACGTAATATATATTTTATAACAGAAACGTGTTGTGTTTTATTGCATAAATTATAAACTTTCAAACTAAGCACTAACTCTATTGTCTTTTTCGTCATCTGATCAATTTGAATATTGAACAATTCGCTCTTTGCTTTTTTAATAGAATTTAAAATATCAATCAAAGTATAGGCATCCCCAGTCAAGCCCATTAAAATATTACATTAATCTATATCAATCAAAAGAATGCCAAGATCAATTTGAAGAAATGTGGTGTTAGAATAATGGAATTTTCAGTCAGTGTGAAAAGTAAAAATTGGGAATCAGTGAAAACACTCGATTACATATGTAGAACTTTGCCTTTATGCAAAACGTGCCATTTTGATCTAGATTTGCACTTTAATTGTGTAAATGCAACGTTCTCTAAAGTACATTTTATTTTCAGGATCATCAACCAGCAATAGCGCCTACCCCTCCAGTCACCAGATCAAGGGTTAGTAAATTCTTCGAAATTTTCGAATCAGTTATTTGCTTTTTTTTTCGTCTCATTTTTCCTCGTCAGATCAGTATTTACATGTCCGTAATAGTAAATTACATTCTGAAACCTTCATAAATATTGGGGCAGCGTCCAAAAAGCATAATACTAGCCCTTTTTATAGATATGCAAGGTGTTGCCTAATTCTTATACCTTTCATACAGTAAGTAGCAGGTACATTTACGCAAAAAGTAATTCGTTAGCTAATTTAATGACGGATATTTACGAGCTCAAAAGATGTATTTCTGTTCTACATACAGATGAGATAAAATTTTAAGATCTTTAGTTCAACTCGACACTATCAGTATTACAAAAATAAAGAAATTTACTTTAAATAAATAATTACAGCATCATTTATCATCTTAAATTAAGCTAAGTATATAAACAAAGGTATCAGTTATAAAAAATATATAATTAATTTGGAACTTAAGAGTTTATAGGTCGGAAGCGAAACGTTTATATTAATTTTTGGTCATAAAATAAGCTATTGAATAATATTCACTTACACTCTCAAAATTTTTTTAAAACGTAATATCGTGTACAGAGTAGCTAAAACATAGAATAAAACTTTCCTTGATTGATACTTATGAAAGAAACTTGAAAACGTGTTTTTTTTCTCTTTAATCCGCAGCATTTGCAAAAATGCTCAGTGCAATTTCTGCAACACTGCAACAATTTCAATGCTCCATAATAATGAAAATCGTTGTTTTCCATATATACAATTCGAATAAAAACACAAAACCTTCTAGATAAATTTATTAATCTTGGATTGTCGACAGGATTTGTTATTTTTCTGTTTTGCTCTGTTACCCCAGGAAATAACAAAAGTTTTGTTATTAAACTAAACTTTTAATAATTGAAAACCAAACTAATTGTAAAAATTATGTATTAAGTTAACGTTTTAGTTCATTAATAGAATTGGCATCTGCAATGTTATGGAAAGAGTTGAGGAACACCGAAGTTTTACAGGTATGTAAAGCGAAACGGTGGAAAGATATTGAAGATGTTAAACTCACAAATCTGTGAGTCTCAACCTGAAAATGTCTATACAATTCTTGCTCTTATATGACTTTACTACTCTGTACATGGTATCTGAGGTTTTAATAGGTGATTAAAATATTTTTCTCTAATACTAATAAGAAAATATGCATACGAACACACTGTATAGTAGATAAATAATGAACCTTGGAAGGAATTTTCACGTTCGAACTGAAATAATCACATTTTTTTATTTACTTCTTTGAGGCCATACAGGCAATTTTGGAAAAGGTCCACAATTTTATGTTTTTAAAGGGTGTACTTAAAAGAGGTGAAATGTAATTTCGATTTTTAATTTATATTTTGCAAACTTGGCCATTTTTATTGCCATAAAGTTAAAAAAATATTAAATGACAAGTGTACATTTTTTGTCGCCCAGTTTAAGCTTAGTGTGCCAAACATTTTATAATTGGAATTATTGTTTAAATGCTTTAAAGCCTCCATTGAATATTATCGATAAAAATCATTCGTCTAACGTTTTTATAACTATCTCTAATCTCTCCATGTTTAAAGATGTTTTTTTGTAAGTTTTCATTCGTTGATTGGTGTATTTTTTTACAATTGTTTAATGTATTTATCGTGTTATGTATTTCCAGCCTGGCGCAAATGCTCCAAACAACAGACCATCCGAATGCAATGTTGAAGGCGGTTTGACTACAGGATTGAATGTGAAGTCGAAAGCAATTGTAGATCTTACTGCTGACGATGGTCGACCATTGCCCGATAGTCGAGAGATATCATTTAACAAACTCCAAGGGAAAACGTTTCCATCTTTAGTAGTCGTTGCTCGACCCCACTTACGAGTATCCGATGTAAATTCAGACCGATCAAAGTTAGATGCTAAAGTTAAGAGCGTTTTGTTGTATCTGCCATCAAAATTTACAGAATGGTAAGTATATGCCTTTGATTCCACACTACAGGATATGTTAAGTTACAGCACAAGTGATTATTGAAATCCAGTTTTCGGAAAGCTTTAAATTCATGTGTTAGAGACAAGACACTTAGTCGGGTCTCAGTTTTTATAATAATTATACAGATTAACTCAAGTTATTAAACAGCAAATATTTTTGGTATTTATATAATCAGTTATTTAGTTCAAAACCCATTTTGATTAAGTCTAAGGTCATCGTTAGAAAAATTATTATTAAATTTTGGAGCGCGCGCTTAATAAAAGCGAAAGGTTTTTTATTGTTCTATCAAATTTAAAGTTACAAAATTAACTAATTGTGTCAGAATTACGCGCTCAAAAAAGAAATGCATTCTATTTAAAGATGATGAGAAATTTAACACGAATATCACTTTCAACTTTGCATTTCGACGTTTTTCCCTAAACAGATAACGATTTTTTTCTCGATTTTCTCAAACGACAGTAAATGTTTATTTTGTGAAGCTTTTAAATAAATCGCAGAATGTTCACAAATCAAGCAAGTAACGGGCTGAACACGTTGATAGGAACCCGAAGAAGTCGTTTTATAATTCTCTATCCATCCAGCGTTAACTGTGAATGACTGAAGAACTTGAAGTCACTTTCAAAACTGATCTTTTCATTTTAACTTTTCTTTATTACTACTGATGATTTTATTGACTTACTGATGTGTGAGTTATGAAATAATGTTCTACTCTGTTGTGCTTTCCAGGCTAATTCAGCAAGGATTGATAAGATCCGAACAGACATGCACTGTGCATTCTACATCACAATTAAAATTAGGCATGTACAGCGACGTAACTAAATTTCCCTATTCCGGTGGATATGTCTGGATTTCTGAATGTTGCCCTCAGAGATTTATTTCAGTGTTTAGTGGCTCGATATTCGAAGGATCGCAACATCCACCTCTAGTGATTTTAAAAATTATTTACCATTGGGCTTGCCAAACTAATATTCAGAATGTAACTCAATGGGTAGGCGTTGCTTTTTTTTATGTTTAACTTTAATTAGTTGCAAATGCAACAATTGATTTTAGGTAAGAGTAGACAATCTCTATGTCAAAGGAATGTATACATGGCTTCGATCGGTGTGCACTCTCGGTTTGCAAACTCACATTCGGAAATTGGGAGGTCCACAAGTCAAAGTAGAAGTAGGTGTTATCTCTCTTGGGACTACTTCCCAAGATGGAAACTCACGGCAAGTAAAGGTAAGAGTAGTGGTTACATATTTAATTGCTTTGTGTCGAAAAATGCGGAAAATTCTTAAAGGTTTGGAGCACTGGCTACTCCTTTACTCTTAGCAAGGTTGAACAGGAGATTATTCCTTCGAGCCAGATTTTTAACTCGAGAAATGGTTAAAGGCAATTTTTTCTCCCAATTTCATTGATTGTGCTTGAGAATTGAACACGAAAATAATGTTTGTCTATAAATAATCTGGACATTTGCTGCTCGTGGCAATGATTTTAGATTGGAGTTCCTTGGAAATTCAAGAGCCTTTTGAATGAACTAAATTTCAATTTGAATCTAATCTAAATTTAAATCTAACTATCCATCTGTAAAATGTTCAAAGTTTCAAAGGCAAAAACACTATAATTTAACCAAATGTGTTTAATCCAGAAAAGACGGTTTTTAAGTAAAGAAGATTTTGTTCGTAATGTTATTTGAACAAAATTTCGTATATACATTTTTAGGAGGAGAAATTGGAATCTATTAACTTTCTGCCACGTTGAAGAGAGCGTCGCATACATGAAAATCGTCTTTAAAAAGGCAGTCCCGCAGATTATACAGGGTGTCCTACTCGTAAGAAATAGCTTCCTTACGTAAACTTAGACAGTTAGAAGTAGGAAACAAATAAAAGTACCGTGTGTCTCATAAAAGTGCTACCGACGTCAACTTTACGTTTTTTTTGTAGACTGAAATTTTATCTTTATTTGTGAATTATGCATGAAAATTGCTTTTTAGCAAACCTCATTGTCGATCATTTGCTTCTATCGTTTACCGGAAATTTTAATTTGAATGAGATTTGCGAAAGATATTTTGAAAATATGTATGCAACCTGTTTCTTTAGCCGGCTGTTCAATCCTGAGGAAGAAATGGGGTTCCTTTTGCTTGCTTCATTTGGTACCCCATAGTCGACCGTTTAGTTATATCTTTGGCCGGTATTTCATTTTTGTTGCGAAAAGTATTCATTTTAATGGACGTTTTAAAAATGAATTTTCGAGAAGCGGTAACCTCTTTTGGATCAAGAAGTGTGCTTTTTTGCTTACTTAATTTGATCCCGATAGTCTACCATTTATTCGTATTAGTGGCAGGCAATTATTTTTTCAATAGGCTCTTGGTATGAGCATTTAAAAAATACATTTCTCAGATACAGTAAGATGTAGCAAACGCCTTCTTTTTTTGGCTTTCAGAGTAAAAACTGGGCTTATTTTTCTTGTTTCATTCTTAGTTTCGTTAGCTGCTCAGATGTATGTTCTACAACCTATCAAAAATTGACCAAAACTACTTCTTCCTGAAAGAAAACCACATTTTTATTAATCAAATTTATTTGGCTTCTCGCTTTTTATAATTCACTTGCCTGTCGATTCAAATCTTTATAGTACTTTTATAATACGGCTGGTTTTCTTGCTGGGGGCTTTTGTGCGTAAATTGGCAAAGTTAGTACTGAATTTATCTCGCTTTTTCCCCCCCTAAAACGCACGCCCACTAATTCTTCAGTAGAGAATTTAAATTTCGTGACTAACTAAATAAATATTATGGTTTTCATACAAAAAATAGTTTTAGTCATTTGAAATATTCGAACTATTTTGATAATTTTTAGAAAATACATCGGAACACTTAATGATACTTTAAAGTAAGAAAAAAATAATCTTTATCTAAAAACCGACGAACAAAGCTGGTTACTTTCTTTTACCGTTTCTAAGAAATTAATTTTTAATACACCCTTTGCAAATATCACTTTTTGCAAGAAAAAAATTGCCAGTCAACCATAGGAACAGAAAACGATCGACAAAGAGGGCTTGATTGAAGATTTGGTTGTACCATTGAATAAACCAAAGTTAACTCGGGTGGCGGTTTCATAAAACACCCTGTATACTTGAAAATTTTAGCACATGCATGTATCAAAATTAAGAAAGCAGGATATTTTTATTTTTGTTAATGTCTAACGGTGTAGTATTGAAGCTATTTCCTGCTAATGGGACACCCTGTATATGGATATCATAAAGACGAGATACGCTACGATATATAATAACGGAAAATAGTTGAGTGATTGCTATTTTTATGAGTACGTATTCTTTCAGGTTGAAGTGTTAGGTATATTGGAATGCAACACAAAACTGATCAGACTAAGAGCGATTGAACCGTTGGCCGATGGAGAAAGGAACTATAAGAAACGTTTTGCAAAAATCTTGGAGCCTTTAGAACACTGGGTCCATCCCAGTAGTGTTATTATAACCGATTTGACTGTGGACAAGGGAACTCTACTGCAGATGGGCTTTGCAACTGTGATGCAACCCGCTGTGAATGATTGTGTTAATTCCAATAAATCAATAATGGATTATCTACGAAGGATTGTGCCGAGAATGTTCCAAAACACCCTTTCGTTGCTTTCAAGGTATACATTTTTTGTACTGAATTTATTCATTCAAGTACTAACTGAAGAAAATATGTTTTACCAGTTTTTTGTCTGGTGGTGATAAAAAAAAAGTTCCTAATGACTTTCAACTTTTTAGGCAAATTATCCAACAATTTCTGGATGAATTAGTATGGCGTGAGTGGTTTGGAACTACCTCAATGCAGGCTTTCGATAATTTAATAACACATCTTGCGGAACAAACTCGCTTTGAATCATCTCAAAGCCTTGTCGTCCGATTGCATAAGGTAGCTGTAAATCCTTTTAGACAATGGGTGGTTCCCGTTGTTGGTGCTCATGTAATGGCACCATCTCCTGCTGCAGTCGCTGTGCCCGCAAAACCTACAGAAAATTTAACAAAAAAGCGAAAAAGGTGAGGGTGAACAACTGAAACTATTGACTTTCTGTGCAAAAGTTCTCGAGTTTTTTTAGAGAATGTACAACGTAGTGTGTCTGCTTTTTTACTTTGCCACACTTTTTGACGATATACCAAACCAGAAACTTGCATGTATTGCCAAATAAAAGTTTTCCAAATTTCTATTTAATCATTCTAAATTTATATATGGAAATTCTAGATTTCTAAAAGCTAAATATTATTTTTAAATCTTGCTGTACAGGGCGATACAAAATTGGCGTCGTTTCTCCAGGGTGTTTTAGGAAGTACAGAAAAAGTAGTACAAATAAATAATAATTTCAAAAATGCACTGCGAATTTGATTGCACATGCAAATGACGTTCTGTTCATTAATACTACTTTCATACTTTTTATACGTGTCAAAAAAAGCAACAAGTGAGGTCAGAAACGCCAATAAAAATCGAGATAATTTTACTGAATAAGTTTGCCATTTTCATGAGCTGTGCAATATTACATCCATAACATTCGTTTCATCAGCAAAGTGTCCAATTTACCAAAAAACTGCTCAATTTCACATCACATCAGTTTAAATAGCGCAAGTGCATGTTTTTGACTATATCAGCCTTCTCAGAACGGGTTTCAAACCTAGCACTTCTCATCAGCTGAGCTCAGATTGCAGACGGCACATCCAAAAGTCTGTATTTTAAAGATGGAACTATTTATTACCACTTAAAAGAAATTATGCCAACTTTGAATCGCGCTGTACTTACGTTAGTGAATTTCTTAACACTGTGTAAACAGATAATTGCACTTTTAATATTATTATTATTAGAAAAGATCCGGAACAGCCATCCAAGCCGACTTCAACGACCAGTCTTGAGTTAAATAGGCCGCCTAAATCGACTTCTCCAGACGTCCCTGAACAGATGATCCCATTGGAAAATTATTACTACGGCACAATCGATAATTATCCCCCGAAAACAAACGTTACTCTGAACATGAAGTGTCCATTCTGCAAAGAAGTTTTCAACAACAATATCATTTTGATGAATCATTTGTTCAAGCATGCTCATAATGTTTCTAAGGACGGCCAAATGTGCAGATACTGTTTGACTAGTTTGTCTACCGCCAATGATTTACTGAAGCACATAGGTAAGTTCAGGGGTTTACGGAGCTTGTTTTTATTGTTTTTGTCAAATAATTAAATGTGTGCATATTAATTTACTGTTTTTTCTAGCCACGTCTCATCCATCCGATACGAAACATGATAATGGTTTCATTTGTTTGATTTGCGAAACGCAATACATGAATCCATTCGTCTTAGGAAAGCACATGTCTAAAGAGCATTGCCCATCCGAGTTACCATATCAATGTGGAACATGTGGTTACAGGTAAATAAAGTTATTTTATGTTTAACATTTCCTTTCGTTGACAGGTTCTAAATAGCATTTTGTACAGGACAGTAATTGTATTTCAGATGTTCAAACCACAAACAAGCAATTGATCATTTTCACAAACAGCATGACAATGGGCCCACTATTCAGTGTCCGTTCTGTTTGAAATCAACAACGGTATTTTCTTCGTCGAGGAATATTGGCCAAAATATGCACTACTTCATACAGCACTTGCAGAAACATCAGAAAAAACAATTTGCTAGAAGGTAAGACTTTCGATTGTTACAACTTGCCTCGAAATTAAGCTGTCCAACTTTAACAGCAGTATTTATAGCCAAAAGTATGGAAACCTTCTTACAGTTCTATGATTTTCTAAATGAAATATAAATCTTATAAGAAATTATGTCTACACACTGGATCAAATGAATTAACAATTAGTTTAACAAAGTGTGTAATTTCTTCATTAAAAAAATGTGACCAAACCCCCTTTGAGAGTTACGAGATCGTTTATGAGGGTCATTGAAAATACAGAATAAAAGCCAATACTCAATGGCAAGAAACAATCTAATTATTATTGGTCAATATCGCACTAGTGATACCCACGTGAACATCTCATCTCATCATTCTCTTAGATCATGATCATTGATTGGTTCTGGTCCTTGGGAATTGTGCTTTACTTTGTGCTTTTAGTGGTCCCGTTAAACATTTTTTAATGGAGAAATTACAAACTTTATTCCACTAATTATTAATTTAATTCATTCATAATATAAATCTTCTTCAAACACTTCCTTGCATCAGAAAAAAATACTCATTTCGTGGAAAAGTATCCCTTAAATATATTCTTTGACTTGTTCTTTGACACTGAACTGTTTTGCTTTTTCAATTAAAATGATTGTTAAAAAAACCACTTATCAAACTTCAACGCTTACTTATGTTATTCCAAAAAGACTTTCTTTTTGCAGCATTTTCTACAATCATGGATTTCTACAACAATCGTTGAAAATTAGATGATTATTATTAATATCATAATCATTGTACTTGTTCTTAGATAACTAATTTGCTATTACTGCTTTTCCCATTGACATTCATTTATTAAATACTATAATCATTAAACATTCTAATTTGTTTCAGATGTGGAAAATGCAACTTGTGGTTCGTGCAGAAAGAGGTTTTGAAAGAACATCAGTACAATATGCATGCGTCCCAACGCGGGAAGAGTGGCTTAGTCCCATGGGTGGCGCCTCGAAATGGAGTAATGGTTCCAAAGTCGAAAATGGACAAGTACCCTTGTGACGGAGAGGGTATAAATTTTGGCACCTTAATTTGTAACGTCTCAAAGGGCTTGAAGTGCAAGGAATGTGATGATTTAATGGACAGCTCTAAACATTTTCCGTAAGTAGCCGACCTTTCACTATCCTCTCGTATAGGAAACGTTCGGAAATAGCTACTGTTTCTTGGAAGAATTTTGGTAGTTTTTGCTTATGACATTATTGTCATGGTGTTTTTCCACCATCTTCAGTTTGTGTTAAACAACCAATAGGTAAAATATTTTGTCCATACATATACATGAAATATAACAACACTTCTTATTTCTGTTCTGAAATGGACAAGCATTAAGAAACTAATGTATCAGTCCCAATCCTAGCGTAACAACAACAGCCTACACGAGTAAATAAGATAATAATTTAAAATTAGAAAATGTGGAATTCTGTTCTTTTTTACAAATTTGATGGTCCTGATTCCTTTCCTTTAGTCTTAATAATTTTTGAATGTTTTAGTGTATTGTAATTTTAAATTGTTTTGGTAACTAGTAATGGGTAAACAGGCTTTAGGTGTTGTTATATTTCATGTACGTCTATGGAAAAATATTTTAAACTATTGGTTCTTTTAGACAAACTGATAATGGTGGAAAAACACCGAAACGTATTTTAAGAAAAATGGATAAATTGTGATATCGAAAAAAATGACTGAAACCCAGGAATATTATTTATATTAACTTTATTTTAGGTCGTTTGAGAGTTGCCAGCATCCAAATTGCCAATATTCAACTTGTTGCTCGAAAGCTATGCAAAACCATAATGCGAAATGTAGCAAAAACTCGCAACGGACAATTTCACAGGATATATTGCCATACGAAATGTTCTGCATCTGTGGCTACAGTAGTTTAGATGGTAAGAAACTACTCGCATATTAAAAAGAATTTTATAATATTTATTAATAATCTTTATTTCCTATAGAAAAAGGCTATCGACCCAATCGGTCTTTCTGCCCTTGTGTAGTACATATGTGTCTTAACCTAGCTTATTCTTATTTATTAATTTTTTCAGGAAATCAAATGGCAAAACATCTAGCCACTTGTGAGAAAAAATCTGCCTACCCTTCCCTATCGGATGCGAAAAGCGCGTCCGTTACTCATAGTATGCTGGACGTTCTTGGATTGGTTCGAAAGCCTGAAGAAACTGATAAAAAAGTTTCTGCTCCGAGATCTGTTAAGCGAGCAATGAGGAGGACTGAAGCCGGAATAATTGCTTTAGATGAAGATGAATCTTCACGGGATTCGGTCAAGTCCACTAGAGGCAGAAAATCTAAAAAGCAGCTTATTGAGGCAGCCAAAAAGACCGAAACCGAGGTTATAGATTTAATAGACGATAGTGGTGTTGCAGAAGAGGGTCCATCTGAGTTAAAATCGGGCGATAAACCTACTGCAGAAGCGGCAGTGGAAAACGTTGACGATATTTTAGCTGTAGTTAATGTTGGTGGAAATAGCGAAAAAACTTGCATCGACAAACCAATTATTTTAGAGGATGATAGTAATGATAGTTCGGTTACAACTGAAAATGTAGGAAATGATGAGAGCGACGTAAAATCCGGAACTCTGATTTCTAATGTAGCTGAAACGGAAGATCATCTGAAACCATCAGATTCAGATGAACTTTTATCGGGCAAAGATCTTGCGGTAGAATTGGTAAAGGAAAACCTAGTTAACGATACCGATCAGGACGAAATGGTTGAGCTACCACCACCAGAAAAAGCAGAAGTTTTGAATGCAAATGCAATTCCCGAGGCTGAAAGTTCGAAGGAAGAAAATGACTCAAAAGAAGACTCGAAAGATGCGCTCGATAGTGAAGTATCTGCAACAGTAGATAATTCCTTGTTACATGACACCGGCATTGTCCCACTTGGCGAAAACTCTTCTGAAAATACTGAATTGACCAGCAAAAACACTGATGGTTTATTAGTTTCTGATTCACTAAATGTGAATCAGGAAGGCGATACGCCATTCGTATGTTCAGATAGTAGAGAAGATGACGTTAGTGCTCTCAAGCTTGGCACGGATGATTCTTTGCAAAATATTGAAGACAAGTCTGACTCTTTGGACGTAATTGAGAGTATTACTGCAATTGAAAAATGTTTAGAAACCTCCTTATTGCCTAGCCAAAATGATCTGAAAACAACAGAAGCAATTGAACCATTATCCGACATTGTAAAGCCATCAGAGCAAACTCGACAAGCAGATGAAAGTGATCGTATCGAAGAGAATGATGATTCTCGAATGGAGGTAGAAAGAATTTCGGTACCGGAAGAACCAAGTTCCGAGGTTGAACCTAATGTGGAGGATTCTCAGGGATCAAAAACTATATCGACTGCTGCAGAATCTGGTACCGATAATACTGTTCAGCTGGCGGCAGTTATTGCTGACCCTGTCACGGCAATGGAGGTTGATTGAGAATTTTAATTTTTTTTTATTGTTAAAGCTGCGATTAAAGCAACGTAATGGATGTGTAACAGGCAAATAGAAAAGTTTAAAATAAAATAGTGCTTTATAATAATAAGTGTATTTAAATGTTTTCGTTTTAATGTAGTTATACTAAATGCATCGGTATTGTCTTAGTACGTGTATGACGATATATTATCTGTGCGGTACTATCATATTTTTCTTCTTGTTTTAACTATCTAACAGTTTTCAAATATATTTCCTGATGATGCAAGCGAATGGGTAAAATGCCACTAGTTCTCGATAATAATGTCGACAAAATTGATGCTGCAATTACATATTTCTATATCATTTTCATCGGTTCCTATGTATATAGGGTGGTGCAACCAAGACGTAATGCTATTACTAACTGATGTGTTATTTCGAAATTATTAGTTTTTAATGCGATGTTGGCATTAAACGTGAGTCAGATTACATCCATCAGAGTTATTTTTGTTATGCAGGGGGTTCCCAAAAGGCCATGGCTTACCAAACTTGTGTTTTGGGTTCATTGGGTCTGCGGTTAATAGTTTACCAGACATGAATCCTTAAAGTAGGCGGAGTCATACCACAGCTTATATATATGATATATAAGCTGTGGTCATACTAGACTGTGAAAGAAATTGAAAAATTGCTTCAAGAAATTTCTGAAAGGGTTTATTGAGACATTAAATTTGAATTTTCTGGTTTTCGTATTAATTTAATTGGGGCATAGGGAGAAAGATTCTTACCAGTCACAAAAACGGCTTTTTCCCGTAATCTTTTAAATCACGTAAAATTTTTACATTGGGTCTGAATGTGACGTCACAATTGATCGAGCTTTTTCATCTGGCGTAATTGCTTAAATTGCAAAGAAGAGGATCAGCTAACACGTCAGAGAGTAGCCATGGCTCCAACCTCAAATATTTTCCACCTTCATAATAATGATTCAAATGTATATAGTTTTCTTCAAAAAAATAATTTAGGATGGTATTTATGCAAGGAACTGCAAGACTATTCAATGTGTTACGCCTAGATGTATTACGAAGCCACCCAAAATGTATGACTTTTCCAAAATATTTATTTCGCTGCTTGAGTAATAAAAGAGAATTAAAAGTCTACAATATCGATGTAAAAGATTACATTGCCAAGCTGCAAAGCGAGTATTTGGAATTACTGAAAGTCGATAGTTACATGTCGAATCCACGATGTATTGAACTGCAACCAGTAATAAATATAATCACGAAGAGAGATGAGCTTATTACCAATATTGTTGATCTAAAAGAATTAGCTGCATCGCCAGACAAAGATTTAGCTGCATTGGCCAAAGAAGAGGAAACTGAACTGGAAACTAAACTGTATCACTTGGAGGAAACATTAATCGATGCCTTACTGCCAGAGGATCGCGAGGATTCATTTGATACCATTATATTGGAGGTGCAAGCAGGAGTAGGCGGTCAAGAAGCTATGTTATTCGCACAGGAAATGTTCGATATGTATTGCAGTTTTATATCTCTCAAAGGTACACATCTATTCAGTTATTTACAGGGTGTGCACTATTGCGAACTCCTTTATTATTATAGTTTTATGAATTTTGAGCTTATTTTCATTACCGAAGGTTCGGCTCATGCTATAATCATCAGTAGTTTATGATTGAAATCGAACCAGGGCTTTGCCATTAAATGAATCTCCGAAATTTCACTATTTTTGTAAAATCCCACTCATCTTAATGACACATTTGAAATCATTTTTATCATCTGAAAATTTCAAAACGTTATGCTTAGGATTGAAACAGTTGAGCATGTCGGAAAACTCGTCAGGATATTTTCCATAGTCCGTCTCGATCTCGAGACCTATCTGTCTCAGGAACCGTTTTTTACCAATAAAGTTTTAATTGGAAATTTGTTAAATCCAAACGAATACAGGCAAAGATAAGCAAACATAAACATTTAAAGCCGCTTATAGGAAACACTTGAAATATTTTATGCAATCCAAATTTCCCTTAGGTCTCTAGTGAAATACCTCATCCAAAAAGGGATAGACTTGAATTTTAAATATCACTTTAACATCTTCACTTATTTATATGTCAAAATCCGTTTAGAATAGTGAAAAAATCATTTGGACCTTTTTGATAGAAACCGTCGAGAACTCTTTTTTCTTAAAAGACGTAAGCAATTCTTACAATTTCAAAATTAGAAGTCAAAATGTATTTTTTTCTTGAGTATGCCTAAGTATACGATATTATATCTCTGAAAGAAAGCGTTCTGCGAACTGGCTTTGCTTGATTACCTTTGATAAAAATTGTCTAATTTCGAAAAAGATTCAGAAATATCAAATTCAACATTTGGAAAATCATAGTGGCAATACGAGAAAATTTTTATTTATACAGAAAGTTTGGCCAGAAGTTGAATATTTTTGTTAAATAGGGCGTTCGTTTAAGGCGCCTCAACATTTGAATCTTTATTTCAGTCAAAGTTGCTTATTTTTGAGCTTGATATGAAATGCCCTTTTAAGACTTGTAAAATTCTAGTAACTTCCAAGGATATTAAAAAAAACTAAATTTGCCATTTGGCTCTTTGTCGCTCGATGTCGTTCTCTTCAATCGAACTAGTCATCATTTTCTAAGTTTAAAACGGCATTTAAAAAAGCTCAAAATTGTGCATCTTTGCCCCAGTTTAACCTATCTCGAACCTCTTATGATTTACCATACTCTAGTGGTGTGGCTCGTACAACGGACACTTATATATGCAGCAAAAGAGCTGAAAGCTTAGGTTCAACTCAAATCAGCATATCTTTAAATTATAGCCGCGAATGACATAACTATTTCATATTTATTAGGAAATTTTACATATACACTTCTTTAGAACTATCCTCAAAAAGTCTCACATTTACAGAAGCAAATTAAAAGAAATTCTCACCATCTCTAAATGTCTTGGAAAACGTTGGAATATTTCAACATTCGCAAGATTAATTTTATTGTAGTGGTTTATTCAATATGTTCGAATAATATATATTTATTACAATTCAGTATTTTTTAATGAAAGCAAATATCGCAACATTCAATAGAATGTTGCGATATTTGTCCAAGTTTTAAAATCATCCGCAAAAGAGTTTATTTCAAAACTTGATGCTGCTATTAATACTACAAGAAATATTATACTTTGAAGAATTGTTGACAAAATTTTGAACGTTTTCATTATAAAGCATGTCTACTTAATTTATTGCCATTGAAAAGTTATTAAAAAAAATTTTAAATTAATAATAAGAAAGTTTTCTTTATGACAAGTTATGGAAACATACTGTCCACATGTAAGCCTTGTTGCAATGTTATGCTCTCAACGGCGAAAAACGTCTCAAATACTCAAGTTCGCTAAATTTTTCATATAAACGTTCAAAATTGAAGGTTTCATAACGAACATCGTAGTCTTTTTATAAACCGGGATTCAGTGGGAATAATGCCTTATCATTTAGTGTTTAGTGTTTTTAGTGTTTAATTGCTTACAGGCTGGAAGTACGACATTGTAGACTACATGGGCACCGACCTCGGAGGAATACGACGCGGCTCTATTCTAGTAAATGGAAGCAAAGCATACAAGTTTTTCAAACATGAGGGTGGAGTGCATAGAGTGCAACGAATCCCTTCTACCGAAAAGAGTAGCCGCATTCACACTAGTACAGTGTCTGTAACTGCTTTACCTCAGCCTAATGAAATTGATATCCGGATTGATCCAAAAGACTTGAAGATTGAAACGAAGAGGTACGATCTTGTCTGTGTATTTGCTAAATATTTGTAATAAAACATACGTGCAATCAGTGGAAACGCGTGGTTTAATGCTTAATTGGTGCACAATCCTAGAAGTAACACATTTTTTGAGCGGCACTACTAAAAATCGTACAAATTAAAGGATCTTAATAAGAAATTAAAAATTAGTTTTCATGTAAGTATAAGTATTGCACGTTAATGCGATCACCAGCGTTTCAAATGTCCCCCATTCGCATAATTCACGTAATAAAAATATCGCGATTCGATCACTAATGCAAAGCACAGTGATCTGCTGACTAAGTGTGCACAATGCAATTTTATTATTCAGATATGTAGTGAATATATGAGGCAGTTAGAAGGCAAATGTGAAAAATGATACCTAAACCATTCACCGAAAGGCTCGCTTTGATATAAATTGCCGCTAATAGTTTCAAATTTCTTAAACCTAACGTTATGATGTTCTTCTTTCAAGAATCATGAAGGTTAAATATGTTTTAGTAGGAGTTTTAAAAAAAAATGGGCATGCACGTGCAGTAAAGCCTGCCAGTTGGACTTATTTCACATTATCGGGATCTTATGATATTAGTTGTATATGGGATATAAAGTTATATAATAGTATAGTATATAAAGTGATATAAAAATAGAACGTCATTCTAGTAAATATAACGCGAAGTTCTCCTTAAAGCGCATCGAAAATATACCTAAAAAATGAATCGGCCTTAAAATTGAGATATTTACAAAAAAACTAAACCGCTTTTTAAGATTTTAGAAATATGAGGCTACCTTGCTTAATCCGCAATAGACAACCCACAAATAAATGAGTCCATGATTTTGATACTGATGAGAATCATCATTTCTCTCTAAACCCAGCTGACGACAGCGAATAAGCTCGAAACCGCTCCTTGGGCTGCCTCAGATTAGCGAACCTCGAGATTTGCACTAGCTTGCATAAAAATTTAATGTTTAAAGAAAAGAAAGATTTTTGGATTCAGTAAAAGGCTGTGAATTTAACTAACATTTATTTTTATTGTTTTTCGATAGATCAACAGGAGCAGGAGGACAACATGTAAATACCACCGATTCAGCAGTCAGAATAGTTCATTTACCAACCAACATTATGGTGGAATGCCAAGTAGACCGATCCCAAATAAAAAATCGAAAATTGGCGTTGACCAAATTACGAGCACTGTTATACCAGCGAGAGTTGGAAGAACAACTAGCTCAACAGGAATCGACGAAAAAGAGCCAAGTTAGTTCGAATAATCGAAACGAGAAAATACGCACGTACAATTTTAACCAAGATAGAATAACGGATCACCGATTGTCGGGGGTGCACTTTCACAATATCAAAATGTTTATGGAAACGGGTGCTGATTTGGAAGAACTGAATGAGCAGCTAGACCGGCAGGCCAGAATAAGTAGTTTGCTTGAGATCGTAAATAAGTTTTTGAAATGAGTTATACTCAGAAAGTTACATTTATAGGAACAGACCGATCCGCAGTGTTATTCAAGCGAATAGTTTTCCTGGTTATTCTTGTAAAAAATGGCTAACTTGAATACATTCACCCTTATTACACTTACTGTAGTGATATTGTATATAAGACTTAAATAAAACGTGCAAACCATTTTTTAGTTATTTTTTATTTACACATTTATGTGAATATGGTATTTTTATAATTTCCACTTTTTCGTCAAAAAATGTACTTCAAGTGTGCAACTTTTTATTATATGAAACTGCTTTCAAGAGAATAATGAGAATGCAAAAATTAATAAAATAACAGTTATTCAAAAATCTTCAAGACAAAGATAGGTATACTAATTAATATACGCGTTGACAACACTGACTCAATTCTGTTGATAATTTGGTTGTCAAATGCTTGGTAACGGCCGCTTGTCAGCTGACAGCACCAATTGAAACAAAACCGTTTCCTTTTAAATGTGTCCGTTGAAACGGTTCTGAAATCCAGGACTTTCACTGTTTTATCCTCGTTTTATTTAGAACACTTGTGTTGAACACGTGAAGATCAAGTGAGGTGACTTTCTACGAGTGAGTCTGAAATGGAGAACGAAAATACTGCCTCGGACTCGATTGATTATTCTGTATCCATGGCCGACATGTAAGTATTGAAAACCTACGTACCATGTTAAGAAAAGCAGTTTCTATTATTTGTATTGCTTGGCACGAAAACGAATACAGCAAATTCGATGCTAATGATTGCTACCTGTTCTAACCCAAGTACATTTATCTATAAAACAGAATTACAATCGCAATCTACTGACTTTGTTGCTCAAAAAAGGGTATAATACAAACAGAAACCAAAGCACAATAGTAAGTAATAAATAATTACCTATCTTTGACCAACGAATGTATCTGCTTTATGGGAAGCTGGAACATTTTGCAAAGCGAAACCCTCTTACACTATTGTTGCATTGCATTACAGCAAATTGTCTTCTATTAATGCTTTGAACCAACGACCACTAATATAATATATTGCGTGATTATCACATTTGTTGCTAATTGAGCGATTAAACCAACGTTCTCATTCATGATGACAAGTATATTTTGAGCTTCGTCTCCGAATATAATACTGAGCAGCCTGTTTGAGTATCAAAATACTGAAGTACTTTAGTAATCTAGTGAAAGTAGTGAACAAATTGGCAGTTTCTTAATCATAGAACAAAACTTATTAAGCCTCTGTTTTATAAAAACATTTCTTGAATAATCACGTATTACTATTAATAGTTACTGTCTTCATTAATAACCGTACTTATTTTTGTTGGTGTTTGGAGTAATTTAGAGACGAGACAAACGTTTGCTCTTGTGCTGTTTGAATGAAATATGCAACAATAAAATTTGAAAGCCCCTTAATAGTGACCTTTCAAATGAATTGTACGAAATATTAAGAAAAGTCGAATTGAAAAAATGAGAAGCAAAAACTGAAAACTATTAGAAAACCAATAAAAGAACTAGAAATCGGAGGAATCATTCGTCTAATCAGTTGAAAATTGACAATAGTAACAGACAAAAAGCAAGAAATCGATAAGTCCATAGCAAACAGCTAATTAATACACTGATTTATTACAGTCGGAAAGATACATTACAGTCTAGAAGAACTAGTAAAAGAAAACATTTTCGGAAAAGGCAGAAAATACTACACAAAGTCCACAAGAAAAATAAACAAAATGGACTCGAAGAAAGTACAATTCAACGATAAGAGCGTTTTACACACTACATAAATGTAGTAGAAACAACAGTGGAGAACCATAGGATAATGACTTGGGATAAATGAGAATATGTATATAAAAAAATATGTCAATAATATTGGATAAAGACGGTTTTGTGAGTGGTAGAATAACAAATTTGAGGGAAGAAAGAACAAAACTTAGACACGAATTAGTGTCTTTAGTACCGAGACGAACGCAAGCTGAAAACGAAATCTCCAAATCAATGCTAATGCCGCAAAATAGAAAGGAATACATAACAAAGGCCCACGAAAACACAAAACAACGAACAGAAAATCGAAGCAGTTTATTAGAGTACAAATTTGAATTTCTTTTAATTCGAAAAGTGTTCGAAAACAAATTCGTCGATGACAAAAGTGTTTCAAAACAGCTTTAATAATGAATAACAAGTAAAATTTAAATTAGTGACAGAAAAATCGTCGCAATGATTTTGAAAACAAGAAAGTAAGAACGAAAAAGCCTAAACCATTATGCAATTTTAAAAAATCAACTAGAAAAATGTCGCGTGATTGGTTCAATTAGTTAAAAAACTGTCGATTTAAACAAGCAAAAAGCAAGAATCATATACCAAATCAATATAACGAACAAACAAAGTTGATTCAAAGAAAGTCCAATAAACACCAATCCAGAAGAGATGGAAATGTAAAATAAACAACAGAAAAACAACGCTGAAGAAACAGATGAAAATTAATTTCGATAAACTCAAAATTCATTTCGATAAACTGAAAAGTGTTTGATAGTGTTGACCACAACAAAATATGTAAATAATATTGTCCAAAGACGGTATTGTGTTAGTATTGTTATATTATGTTAGGACAACAAGTTTGAAGGAAGAAAGTAAATAAATAAGAAACATAATAGTGTCATCAGTACTGAGACTGATGCACACTAAAACTGAAAAGCCGAAATCAGAAATAAAAAAAAGTATCCAAGCAGATTATTAGAGTAGAAATAATGAATTCCTTAACTTACTTAATAAAATATTTAAAATCATAAGAAAAATGATAAAAATTATTTTGAATAAACGCAAATGAGAATTAGAAAAACTTAACCAATGACCGAACTAAAGGAATTACAAGAAAACTGAGGAGCCAAAACGTAATGCCACAAACAAAATGTAATAACTGACAGAAAACTAAAAATTCGAGCAGATAAAAATGCTCGTAGGTAGATAAATGCGTATGTGTACCGTGCGTTTGGAACAATGTATTCAGCATTTTTTCTTATTCGAATTATTCACATTCGATAGAATTTTATCTAAAATAGTCGTATATTCATTGACAGGAATGTAAGTAGATAGGAATTGCCTTCCAACTAAATAGAATTTTCAATGCTTTGCTACATACTTGAAGATCTTGAAGATATCTTACAATATTATGTGTTTTCTATCGAGTTCGGAGATTCTGTCAGCAGGAAGATTTGGCGGCCGGAGACTCCGGTCTTCCATTGTTCTAAGATCAGTCCTGTTCTATGGATCAATTTTTATCATGTCTAAGATACATCCGGAGCCACGGCAGCTTTTCCATTCCAGCAATCACGATGTTGCTTTAGTTAGCCAAATGTAACTTAATGATCCTAGCGGGCATCCTAATCTAACGCAGGTAGTTTTCTCCAATTCGCCTTTTCCAAGAAATGAACAAGAATTATTGATGCTATTGAAAACGCACGTGATGTGAGGGTAGGCGGTCGATACAAAGTAGGACTAGAGATGTTTGTTTTACGACATTTTAAACAACGTTAACTGCAATATCTAACTGCCATTCTAGCCAGTAATTATTTACTTTAATTCAAATTTATCCAGAATTGAGTATAGAACTTAAGTATATTAGAAACATGTCTTTTATTTTTTTCTTCAAGAAAACTATTCATATTAATCTTCAAGAGTGCAGATCGCATTACGCAGATACTTACATGTTTTTCTAAGTAAACATGGTCAAGTTCTGTTAATTATATTTATTTCTCACTTCACATTTGCATATACAATGTGTTTGATGAGGAAGGGGCATTATTTTACCACGTATTATACGTCCGAAAATAACCCTAGTTTGCTATACAAATGATAACTCAAAAATGCTTCGTTACGGATTTGCAGGGTGTTGAAATTTAGTTTAAAAAATTCAAAATTATAAATTACTTCCAAACGCATAAAGATGTTTAACGAAATTTTCCAGGGATCAATATATTGATCTTACAATATTTTGCACATTTTGCAATAAAAAAAATTTTGTCAGTGGCGTACGTTGCTGCGCACTACCGACATTGATAAGGGAAAAATGGTTGGCCAGCCACTGTATTTTTTATTTATTACAAATAATTTTATAATACCTTGTTTTATCACAAATAAAAAATATCTCTTGCATGTTTTCGCTACTTCAAGTGATTCTAAAGTAAAATTTGTGGTAGATGGGCCAAATTGGACAGATTGAAATGGAAACCACCGTTTGTATTGGAGTAGATAAAAACCAGTGTCTTGCTAAAATTATTAATTGATCATTTACTGTCACGAGCGTTTTTGTAGTCTGTAGCGCATTCACAACTCAGTGGCAAAACTAGGTAAAAATATTAAATGTTCTGAAAGGTAGACTCTTTTCAATCAATGAAAATACAGAATTACAAGTGTTCAAAAATTAAACCTTTGCTCTCCACATACTTATCGACTGTTATGAGATCAGCTCAGTTTTATGTGCTCAATTTGGTCCACCTACCAAATATCTTACTTTAGAATCCTAACCACTTGTCAATGCAAGAGATATTTTTTATTTGTAATAAATCAAGTAATAATTAAAAATACACTGGCGTACCATTTTTTATCATCAATTTCAGTAGCGCGCAGGCACGCACGCAACCCGCAAAATTTTACAAAATTATTTTATTGCAAAACATCCGTCTTTCGTCTGGCTATTGATCCGTGAAAATTTTCGTTAAAATATCTCTGTGTTTTGAAGAAATTTATCATTTTGCATTTTTTAGTTGAATTTCAACACCCTGTAAATTCGTAACGAAGCATTTTTGTACTGTCATTTATATAGCAAACTTGGTTATTTTCGCACGTAGAATACGCCGTTAGAAGAATGCCCCTTCCTCATAAAATAGCTTGTATATCCTTAAAATTGTCTTTTGATTTTAAACTCCTATCATAATTAATTTTGTTATGACACCATTATTTCTTGTACAGTATATATACAGAGTGAGACTATATACACAAATTTAAATACGTTTTGTAAGAATATGCTATCTTACAAAATTGTGGATCACTCTGTATATTCAGAGCGTTCATATCATATAACCACCAGTTCTGCTTCATAAACATGCCCAAAAAAGCAGTTTTTTGTTATACTGGTTGTCGACATTCGAGCTTTTATTCGATTTTTCCATTCGGGTTCGTGCAGTGTTCAAGATATTTGGCTAAAATTTGGGAAACCATGTTCGGCTCTAGATTTACAGCGTTCAACATGCCAAATGATTGTCCGAATGTACAGGGTGATCATTTTTTTCTGCTCAGATCCCCTTTTATCACCCCGAATTTTCTTGTGGTGCGCCACTGGCGTCTATCGCTTTGAGAAAATCTTCGTTCGATTTAGAACATTCCTTGCCTCGTTCATTTCTTTCGTATCTGCCACCGTTTTCGAGCTATTTGTAAAATAATTAATTTATGCATGTTGTGTAATTTTGCAAGAATCATTAACTGCCGAACCGAGAATGGCTAGAGGAGGTTTCCTTAGTGCAAAAAATAACATAACAATAATTTAAATTTCAATACCGTGAACCTTGAATAGGCTGCCTTTGCGAGCAGGTCTATGAAGCAAAAATGCTTGATTATTGCTGTTTCGTATACAGAGTTTCTGTTTGTTTTTTTAAATACTGCCTTGTCCATGTTTTGTAAGCTTTTGCAAAAATTTGGAACGTTGATACACAATAGTAGTACTACATGCGTTTATTGTTTTAATGTGCAATTTTAATTAAGTAGGATGTTTAAAATGATGAAATCATTGCCGTATGTTAGGTGCAGCTGTTTTTGTTTAGCACAGTCTGGAAAAATATTTCTATATCAGTATATTTTGCAAGACTAATTATTACATAGAGGTAGGGAAACCCCTTATTTATTATTAGTTAATTAGAACTGCATGCTAAGAGAAATTGAATTAATTATTTTATTAATATATGCTTATTATATTCTTAAATTTCCTTCTTTAATTACTATATGCAATAGATTAAAAGTAAAGTTTGATTAGGAGTCAAGTAAGCAAACGTATTAAATAAAGTAAACAACTTGAATAAGATAATATCGCAATAAGAAATATTGGTTGTATGAGCGAGTAGAACGTGGATGTTCTTTAATTTTTAAAAGATCAGTAGCTTATTCGATCAGTTAATGCAAGGCTTTTATTTACCACTGTGTTTAAAGACTAGCGATGACAACTGAACTGATTATTATTTATTTTACTTTGCATAGAAGCTCAATCTATTGATCAATAAAATCACTTGAATTTTATAACCGTTCGAACGATTGCGTGGTTGAAATGCCCTTGTCAAGGTTTACATTTATAAGCAGATTTTTCGTTAAAAATTCAACTTTGCCTTAAAAGTAGTCTAGATCAAGGTTTTGCTCACATATAGTTCGGACTGACATGTTTTTTATTAATTCATATTCCAATACCTACTGCTGTTTGGTAAATAATTTAGGGTGAAATAATTTTTTAGAAATGTGCGGTAGTTATCATGTTAATATCACATTATATTGTCTTGCATTAAATTTCCTTACAATTAGCTTTAAAAAGTGGTTCATTAAGAAGCGGCGCAATTATTTTTAATAGTAAGTATCATAATTTGTAGATTGATTCAAAGCAAGTTTCCAGCAAATATTATTACTAGCGCTGTTAATGACCAAGTAAGTAGTAGTAAGACATGGCCAAGTAAGTCCAGATGTGATGGGTTTTACAGGTGCATTTTCTGAGGAAAGAAGTTAATATAGAAAACTATTATAAGGAAGGTCTCACTATACTTATCGCATCTTTGAAGAAAATACGGGTTTTCTCGTTATTCGTTTGGACCTTGTGCAGTGGTTGAAAAAAGAAAGCCACTGCCCAGGTTATGCGGTAAGTTCCGGATATTTATTCTTTTAGTGAATTAGTCATCTTTATTTGATCAACGCCCGAAAGAAGTTTCAGATTTTTTTTATGAAATGGCTTAGGATTTTACACCTTAAAATATGGAGCGTGTTGGAGGAATAAATGTTTCAAGAAAGTAAGGAGAATTTTGTACAGCCAGCAAGGGATTTTGAGATATCCCTTGCCTTTTTTTGCAAAACATTTTTAGTTGCTTAAAAAATAATAACATACATATTTAATTTTTATGTCACTATGTCTTTTTTGATCCTGAACTGTATTATAATTTAGTTGAATCTCTCACTGCTAATCCTATAATTGATTCGTTGGTTTAAAGGAAATCAATTCATAGACCTTATGATTGAAAGAGAATGGAACTAATAACAGGAAACAAATTGACAAGTGTAATGAGAAAAAGTATAAATATTATTATCAATAAAATAGAAGACCAAATAATAGGGATGAACAGAGAAAATGGTGTTTCTATCCAAAATATTGTAAATCGTCCATCAAGCACGTAACGAAACCGAACATTCGAAGTGCTCATAATAAATAGAAATATAAATTAACAAAGTCTAACTTGTATTTTGTAAAGTAAGTATTTTCGATTTATTTGATAAAAGCTATGTTTTTAGTTCAAAAGTGGTTACCCCGTTCTCATACCGAGTTGAGTCATCCATTTAGTTGGAAGACCCTAACTTTTTTTATTAAATTAAAATTTAATGCGAATACTGAATTAAAATTAAAACACAGTCAAACTTTTAGAATGGGAATTTGCTAGCAACCTAAAATTTTTGTAAAACCAACCATTTTGACCATTTTTTCGAAAAATTTGTACAAAACCCCGTTAAAACGATGAGATAAAATTCAATTAAATCATCATTTTACAAATAGTGTATGTTATACTTAGAACCTATGAGTTAAAAATATCGAACAAGCCCATCTCTATTTCGAGCCCTTAAAGATTAGGACCCCTGGGATGTTAACAAATACGATCCATTCATGACTATATTCTCTGTTTCGTTCAATGCCAAGCACCAAAGCAGGACAGCCTTATCAAACTTAGTGCGTAGTTCACGTGGTCCAAATGCGCTAGAGGCTGTTTGCCTGTTTAAATTTAGTGAGTCAGTTGTGTAAGGAAACCTGCTTGAGTGTAGTCGATAGGGAAAAGTGTTACACTGCCAAATTCGACTTAATCAATTTGTTTATTTTTATTTTTGTGAATAACATTAATCCCATCTTTAAAGTGAAAATCGGTGTTTCAGAGCTGTTAAACAGTTTTATTTAAAAAAATGAAACGACGAGCTTGTGAAACAGACTTGCGAAGGGGTGATAACGTGGTGTGTTTGCTTTTTGATAAAGACCGTTAAAGAGTTGAACTTGAATAGATAGATCAACACTTTCGGAAAGGTTTATCGTCGTCAAATTGAGTTATTTACGGTTGAAAATGTCGTTTTTCAACAGCAATAAAAGTTTTATCAGCTCACCATCAAGGGATAATTCGTCCAGGAACAGTCTCGCACGAAGTCCTTCTAGCCCTTTTTGGTGAGTTCAACATGATTTTTTTTCATTTGTTAGTTTTATTTATCGTTTATTGTTAAAATAGGAAACCCGAGCACATAAATACAGGGTTTTCCATTTAGCCAGTTTACCCGCTTATCTACAATTTTATGGCGGATTTATTATTGATGCATTTTAAATGGAATAGCAGCTGATTTCAACCCTGCCTCTACAAATGTGTAATCATATTGTTGTGCTTTGTACAGAAAGCTCACTATATTTTGTTTACAGACGTTTTTACTGTTTCTTAATTATTTATTTAATTGCTGCTATTGTTTGTTTGCAATTGTATATTTATTTTGCGCCCTTTACTAAGTCCTGAGTCATATTTATTATTTTGGTCCGGTAGCGTCCAAACTGAATGTATTTCTTCAAAATACCCAAAACTTTGAAACGCGCATGGGTTTTCAAAAATGCCGATTTTTACTTTATTTGAAAGGATCGATTATTATTTTCTCTTAGAGATTAGAGTCCCAGCTGTTCTTTTTGAGTGGCACAATTTTTTAATTGAATACTTAAGTTCCAATATCTTAAACCAAAATATGTTCATATCAAAATTACTGACCGCAACACAACGCACAAAAATTTTGGAAAAGTGTCAATAAAACAAAAACAAYAAATTTAATTGTCGGGATGATTTCGTCAAAAATCGCAACAAGGACGTAGTACATATCTGATATTTTGGAAATATTTAGAATATTTAAACGATCATKTTCAATTTGGTCGTCATATTACAGYTTAACAGGTACAAATCAGCGGGCACAAATGTAAATAAATTCAATTTAAACGTAGGTATACAAAATAATTCAGTAAATATCGTTCTTATAGTTTGAAAGTTCACGTCTTGAATAAAAAGTTGTGTCTCTGATACAACTTTTTCGGATAACTCGCAGATGGATACTTGAATTTTAAATGTGCTCCCATTTAATTAATTAAAAAGTGCATGAAAAAAGGTCAAACGGAATGTTAAAAACCTGATAAACCGAGCTTTAAAGTGGTATTTTATATCCCTAGAAAAAATTGAAAATGAGATCTGCCTTGATATTTTAACTTCAACGAAGGAAATAAATATTTACGAACGCTCAGCTTATCACAAACAGTTCATTTTGTTTTCGTAGGCAGAAAGAAGTATAATTTATACAAGGTGTTCCAAGTAAACGAATATAGGAAAATTAACTTAACAGTGGTACTTAGTTGAGAGTGGATTATTTAAAATGAAGATTTTTTTATAAAT